TAAACCCGGGAAGTAAAGGAAAAAAGGAACAGGGTTAAAAGAGATCCCAAATACTTGATACAATTGCATATATTTAACTCGAATTGTACTTTTGGGCAAAAAAAAGAAATTAGATTTGAAAGATTTTACCACTAGAAAATATTACAATACAGTCACACCCTCTTAGTACGGACACACCAGGTACAGGGGTTAGTGTTTGCGTTAAAGAGACATCCATAGAGCGATTTTCATATGACCTTGAAATGAAAACGCGCGAACAAAACAGAAACAACAAACGAACGGAAATAGAGCGATTTGATTGGTTTATTGAACGGATTCAAACGCGCGTGGCTTTTGATTGATTAAGCGAACGCTCGGTGAAAAAACTTCATGCCCGAGAACATTCTATAAATCAATCGATACTTCTCTTTGACGTCAAACTACAACACGACTGGCTATATTAGGGTTTTCTTTGCGGGAAATCGAAGAGTCCATGTTTTGATCTTTTCAACCATTAGCAAATAACACTTATCGAGACCATTTTTCAAGGTCATGGAAAAATCGCTCTATCATAAAAACAGAAGATGTATTCCATCTGTAGGACTAAGAAAACTCATGTCTGTTATATAAAGGCATCCGTATCATGGAGGTTTGACTGCATTACAAAAATCATGGAGCGCACTTTAAGAAAATCAGTGGTCAACGAAATTGCTTTCCTACCGAGTCTGGGCAGTAAACTATACGTTTAACAACAGACAAAGTTTAGATGTCAGGGCACGCAAAATTGAAAACGGCTTTAAACAGACTTCCCTTTGGTAATGCTTAAGTTTATGTTTTAGCTCTCGCATTTCCTCGTTTAATGAGGCTTTCAACAGAGGTCAACACACCTTTTGATATTCTTCCTCGTTCATGCCTCCACGTTTGTGTATTTCAGTAGTGATCACTCCAGGGCTAAACGAAAAAGACGGAACTGAGAACAACAAGTATATTGCCGCCATAAAAACGTCATCTATTTATGTTTGTTTTGAGATATCTCCGAGAGAGAACCTTAAGAAAACAAATGGTTGTCTTACATCACTATATTTCCTGAAAAGAAAAAGAAAAGCTTACTTTGACATGAGGTTTTGGATATCTGCAGTTTCATCGGAACGCGTTTCATCATTTGGACGTCAAACTCCCCTAAACATATCCGCTAACTTCAATTAAGTAACGAAACAGGAGAATAATTGTGAAAGTGATCATAACGACGGTCATCATGACGCGGAAGATGATGATGATGACGACGACAATCACAATGATGATGATGATGATGACGACGACGACAACTTGCCTAGTTCCTAGGCCTCATTATTCCGCGCGACCAAAGCGTTTCGGGTCACGTGGTCCAAGGGAAAATGTGAGACCTAGACAAAAATCTTTAATAGTGAGACAAAAGCGAGACAGCTCAAAGCATTGGTTTACAAGACGATATCTGCATTTCCAGGTTAAAAATACGCCGCTAAAAGAAACAGATGGAAAGGGAAAGTTCAAAGAATGCTTAGTTTTCTTCTAGTGGACAAAGGAAGGCTTTTTTTAAAAAATTGGAGCGCTTGGCCTGTTTTGAAACGCAACCAAGCAGCGAAGTTTTTGAAGAATTTTCAGGTACATTTTGTACTCTTTAGTCAAGAAAATAACGTTTTAAAACGAGAATTATGTATTAGTAAACATTAATCTTTACGTTTTGTACATTTAGAGATCGGCTTGAACGCCCTGATTTGAGATTTGTGTTGAATAACTTGTGCCATGTGCTCAACCGATTTTACTTGCGTGAACGAATTCACGAGCCCAATTTGTGTTACGCGAATTGCTTTCAAGGATTAATTTATGAGTTTTTAAATAAAGTTTTTCGAGAAATAATTTCTCTCTTAGCTCAAAACACGATCCTGAGACTACAATATCCAAGTTGAATTCTTAGCTTCTCACAGTACACGCATCACTTTTGCGAATGTCGGTGAATTTTATAGGATTTTTACTTTTATAGGTTCAGCTTTTTGGCAATTTTCAATACGCAGCTAATTCAATGAATTTTATTTGAAAGCATGTTCGGTTTTTCTGATTATTTAAGATGTGCGCTCTACGGTTACTACACAGAGGGTCACTAAGTATCGTTTTTACTTTGAAAATTCGCACGATCGGTTAAAACTATGGGTTATAAGTCAGGCAGGAGCAACAAACTCCGATAATTCAGCTGGAATGATGAGATTGAAGGAGCAGAAATCAATCTTCATAGGACTATGAATAACATTCTGATGACTTTCAAAGCCGGTCGGCAAAAGTCGATCCCGCAAATATCCACGAGGGTTTGAAAAAACCATCATCGACAACATCTTGAAGTCTCTTGAATTTCAAAAAGCAACACACGCATGCGCATTCTGTTTTTGTCTACGCGTTTCCTGCTCGTTCGCCTCGGATACGTCACCTAAGTGAATTGACCGAGAAGGACTGGAAAAACGCCGTACAGGGACTAGGCAAGACGACAACGATGACAATGGTGATGATGATGACGATGAAGACAATGCTGACGATGACGATGATGATCAAAGAAGGGTGATGATAAAATGCTAAAGAGAAGAGGACGTTCAATGATATGCACACTTGATCACCTGTAAGTAGTAACCTGTGATCAGGCGTCGCAGGCTAGATCCCGTGATGAGCATTTGACCCTATTTATACATGAATTAGAGCACTATTTAATATTTACTTACTTGACTGAGTTAACACGGATTTGTTTCGACGCAAGTTCTGCAACGTGAAAAATGCACATTAACTGGCTGCCAATATCAACCTTCAGCATGGAACCCTGACTTTCATGATCGTTTTTTGGGGTTAAACAGTAATTCACACAGGGTACCCATAGGTTAGCATAAAAAGACAGCAAGAGACAAATGATACATCATCTCTCTTGTTTAAGAGGTACCTTGCACATGAAACTCAGACAGCCACATCAACCACGCATCGCCCCCGAATTAGGGTCGTCTCGTCCGAAAGTCGAATCGCCCGACGACGTTTCGCCCGAACTCAAGTCGACTCGCCCGATGAAATAGGATGCTCTACAAAACGAGTAGGATTTCTCATGTACAGTCCCTGTGTTTACGCTTGATCCTTTTTTCAGGTTTAAAGAACGAAAATACCCATCGGGCGAATCGACGTTAAGTCCGTGCGAACTGAACTTGGGCAAAACGATCCGATACAGTTCCGGCAAGTAGAGACAGACTTTTGTCCTTGTTAGAGCTTAAGAGCATTTCAATGCTTATACATAAAGTTTGCTTTGGTTACTCCACTAAAGTGGCCTACGTACCGAGAGCAGCACATCTCGTGAGCTGATCAACTGCACTTTTCGACATACAGTAGGCAAGCACGCCAGGAAACTGTCAAAACAATACGGAGGACCATCAGCGATAAACAACAACAGCCAACATTCGCGGTGTCACCTCTGGTTTCCCCGCGAAATGACGTGTGAGGAACGACTGCAGAAATTTGATACTGATGACACGTCACTACCCAGATCTGGGCAGTGCTTCTGATTGGTTAAGGCAAATTTCCCGTGGGGCACGACCAACCAGAAGCATTACCCAGATCTTTAGAGTGACACAGGAGAAACCAGTAATCAGTTCCGCTGTCTTCTCAGGCTATAGTTAGACAGCCTAGGGGGTTAAGGATTAATACTCGAGAAGAGAAGCAAGACTGAATTTATGTCATTGATGAGCCTAAGCCTTGTGTTTAAAATAACAGAGAAACAACCAGCCTACGGAAAGTTTATGTTAATAAACACTGTAGACATCAAAATACTTCGTGTATTTCATTGATTTACGATGGTAAACTTACCGATCTCATGCCATTAACACTAGAAACATTCACAACGCACCCTAAAGCAAAAATATATATATTATATATTAATAATATTGCATTGGTTTTAAAAATTAGAGAAATGAAATTTAATGCGAGAGGGAATTTAGCTTCTTGGTTTTTGGCATATGTAAAATACATTAAGATTTTACAACTGATTTTAGATACTGGAGAACAGCATCACACTAAGTAATGTTTCATTTAACTCTGTCGTGATTAATTGACTCACGATCTGAAAACATGAGAAGCAAGTTCTATTTTTGCAATCACTACTGCAACGAAAACGTTGCAAGGCAAGTTCAATCTAGGACGTTCCAACAAGTAAAGGAGAACTTGCTCTGGTAAATTGGAAAAATTGGGAGATTTTTACTTGACGAAGTAATAAAAAAAGGCTAAGTTTTCTCATTTACGCGCCCATTTTTTTAAACACGGAGGCCTGCGTGTTATTTTGGCAGATATAGTGTACAGGTAGTATGCTTCAACATTTTGGATGTTGTGCAACTTGTATGGTTGACATAACAAAACACTGGATGAGGTTTGACTCGAAAGTCTTCTAAAGTTTAATCTATCTGCCTACCAGCAACTAACTGTTTAATTAACATGACGATTGCACATTTGGATGTGGAGCTGGGAAAAGCGTAAATTGCACCCTTAACTATCCATTCTAAAGCCAAAAAAGTCACCAAACAAAGACCTCGCACTTCATAGGCATTTAAAAGCATCTTTATTGTTTTCTTTACAATCATTGCTGAGCCAAAAAAACTACCAACGTGCAGGTATTCAAAAGATGCCCTGACTGTACATGTACCGTATTTATTCGATTAACCGCCCTGGGTGCTTATTAAATTTTCACCACTTTCAGCAAGTGAAGTATACGTATTTTGCAACAAAACAGTAAAAGGTAATAACAAAACGCGAAGAAGTAACAAAGCAAGATTTCTGTAAAATACTCTGAAGAAAACGCCGTCTTCGGGGAAGTCTCTTATAAGTACTTATTCCATTTTGAATTTCAATCTCATAGTCACTCAAGTGGGTGGGGTGAGGATGGGCGCTTATTTGAGTTTAGTAAGGAGGGGAGGGGGTGGGGTGAGCGCTTATTCGAGGCTGGGTGCTTATTAACTTTTTCTGCCTCTAGGATGGGCACTTATTCGAGGTGGGCGCTAATTCGAGGTTGGGCGCTTATTCGAATAAATACGGTATAGTACTACAGTATGTATAGTATCTTATTAATAAGTACATTTGCAGGCCATTAATTTTGCGTTTTTCGCGACTGTAAAAAAATAAAAAATTAATGATGTGCGAATAAAAATCCTCAAGAAATTTAAACACGCGACATGTAATATACGTGAACATTATATGTAAATGCAAAGGGTAGAGGTAGAGAATCTGTGTGTTAAAAATAGCTTGTTCCATTTTATCCTAAATTTGAATATTAAGTTCTGACTTTTTGAAAGATAAAATAAAAGTGAGAATGCTTGAATCGTGAAGATTAATGCCCTTTTTTCAGATTTGCCTATTGAAATCATCAAAATAAATCAACGTGAAATACTGTATCGCCAAAATCCCAAAAATTAGTACCAATAAGGTATTTCACAATTATTCCTCGAGCGCGAATGGGCTCTGAATCAATAGCCCATGAGGCCATAGCCCAAATGGGCTATTGACTCAGAGGCCATGAGGGTGAGAGGAATAATTGTTTTAGTAAAATCCATCTAGTTTGTCAAAAATATCGAGACAAAACAACTTTAGCTAGCAAAGCGCAGTTCAGCCATAATTTTTTTGGTATTCAAAGCCTGCGCTTTTCACTACTAGTGGGCTATAACATATAGCCTAGTAGTAGCTCAACCAATCAGAATTAATGCAGCATTGATAATAGACCACTAGTAGGATTTTACTAAATGGTGTAAGTTTTGTTTCGTAAGATATTCTCACGCAGCTCAATATCTAAGTATCTCTGATGACATAGAGTGTGTTACCTTTTGTTTCTGTCAGATAGGGTACAGCTAAGGATGTCAGGTAAAAAACAGCCCTGTGAATCGGAACATAAACAACATGATAATATCATAATAAACACTAGAGTGTACAAAAATTTACGTAAAAGCCGAACTGTACATGCAACTGGTTTTCCAGTTCCCAGAAACATATTTTGCAACCAAAATGAACTCAGAAACACTTAAAATACTATTCTCTTTTCTGGCTATTTCAATGGCTACTTTCTTTGACTCAAAGTCATTCCACAATTTGACCTTTTCATACTTCTTTCAACCTCTCTACAACAACCACGTCACCTCAGCAGGCTATAGCAATGGTCAAGTGCTATGCTTAAGTGCAACCTCGATAAAACAAAGGGTTAAGGGACTAGCAAATTATCTTCAAGCTGAGGTTAAAAGTTTTTGGTCCTGAATATCACCATTAACAAACTCTATCCAGTTAGAGGGCTCATCAAACAGCTAAATTACCATGTGCACTGAGGAATAACCAACCCCTTCCCCCTGACAAAAAAAACATTCTATCTCATTTCAATTTTGTCATTGGGTTTCAACAAGAAAACAAACAGATTTTTTCCAATGCACCCTTTACTAGTTTACTTTAGGAATTTAACTTGATGTACATATACATACCTTGTATTTATCCGCATTACTTTGTCAAATGATTCCAAGGACGTAGTTTCAATAGTTCCCTTAGCAACGATACCTGCATTATTAACCTGTGGTATAGGAGAAAACATTTAAGCGATAGAAAACGTTTTCATTGTTTCCATAGCCTGATATAAACACAAGAGGGATTGGAAGAATTCGAGACAGTTATGCAAACCCAAGATGAAGTCAAGGGTTTGCATAACTGTCGAGAATTTTCCCAACCCCTCGAGAGTTAGTATGCAAAATACAGGAAAAAAATTTTCTATTGCTTTTCTTACTTTTTTCTTTGTTATGGCACTGATTAAAAGAGAAATTCTTACCAGTCGCGAAGTCTTGTACATGAAGTCTTGCTCGCGTAACCAGTTCTTGTTTTGCAAAAAAGATGCTTTCCAAAATACGAATTTTTCTTTCTTAAAATGTCATCTTAAGCGAAAACAAATTGACACAGCATGTTTCTAAAGATTTTCCTAGTTTCAGCCAACAAGGGAATGGGTAAATAAAGTAAACTTGTCAAGTGTTCAACTAAAAAAAGTTTCTAATTTTGTGCCTTCATGACAACCACGTTTACATACTCTCATGTAAACACACCTCTCGACCAATCAGAGCACGGATGGTATCTTAGATATTTTGTAAATAAAGATGTAGAAATAAATCATTTAAACATTAAGGTCACATGACACATTAAGAGAAGATATCATACACTGAGAGGTGGTATTCTGTATCAAAATTTGTTTACATCACCAGTCAGTTACTTTATTCCTTACTGGTGCACTCCCTCCTAAGAAAAATCCTGGATCTGCCCATGGTTTCACATCTGCAAATGGCTAGAACTTCTAGCCTTCTTCACTATTTAAGGCCTAATTAAAGGGTTAAGAATCAGATCAGCAACAAACCTTTTCAGGACAAGGCACTGCTCTAGCAGAACCCGGTGGCCTATGGTGCCTAACTTTTGTTCTTGGGCGACTAATCATATGCCGGGCACACTGGATTTCACAAGTTCAGAGCACTGGGCTCCCTTCAATTTTTTTTAGAGCACAGCCTTCCGGACAACAACAGATTGGCGATGAAAATTAAGGACATGATTGCACAAGACAATTAACTTTTCCTCAATACTTTTATAGGAAATGCATCATGGGAACAAATGAGTCAGAATCTAAATTTTAATAAATAGGGTTTAGGTGATTAAATAAGGACAATTTAAAATAACCACAGGTCCCATATCAGAGCACGTTCACTGATCTGATTCTTGTGGAAAGTACACTATAAATAAATCACTAGGGACTTAACAACCTCTGACTCCCCCGGCCACTTGGCTGTTTAATATATGGTGTTCGAGATGTACATAACATGGTTTATAATAATATATATTACATCAAATTCAGTTTAATATTTTGGGTAATAGTTGCTTATACAAAAATTATAACATTGAAAGGAAAGTTACTTAAAGGATTGGGTTTATGCCATCAACAGCAACAACATTGTTCTTACCAAAACATCCAGCTTTCCAAAGTGTTTTATTGTGGCCTCAAGAAGTGCTTTTATATCTTCATCTTTTTCTAAATCACCTTGCACTGGTAAAACCTGACAAAACATAGCACTCTTTCCATTACAAACCACAAAAGACTCCTAAAAGATGTAATCTTGTTTCAAGTATTATGGCTGGGGATTCAAATGAATTATCTAAGTACTTAAAAAATAAATCAATCCAATTCAAATAATCAAATGAATTTTTTTGAGTACATGTCTATACATATATAACTCGAACTCCCAATAACGGAGGGTCCACAGTTGGTTTGACGGGATGCAGGGTTTGGCTATTTTTTGTGGTGATACTTGCGATGCAAGCTAAAAACAGGTGCGGGAATAGGGAATTCAATGACACGTGGAAGCAGGATTTCTTATATTTATGGGGTTGCATAATTATTGGGATGACAGAATCCTAGGGATAAAATAGCAAGATATGAGAATTTTAAAAAGGGCTAAGTAAGTTTGTGTAGACAAGTGGCGGATTGATTTCCCTAGAACACCTGATGGAAGGTTCAAATTATCGGGACTCGACTGTGTAATTCAATTCATTAAAAACTACTTGTACAGAAGCCTTCTTGGTGGGGTATATACATATAATATCCCTAGTCTGAATTTCAAAGGGGGTCATTTGCTGCACTGAAAAGAAGGGCATGTCGCCGGTGGGGGTGGGGGGGGTTACTCCCTTATAAGGGCTTAATGGGGATGTGCGGCCAGCCAGGGTATGTTTTTTGCGATCTTTGTCTTAAACAGGGTATCAAATTTATCATTTTTTGTCTTAATCAGGGTATCGATTTATCAATTTTTGTCTTAAACAGGATAAATGTCTTAAACAGGGTATCAAAAATCGCAATTCTGTCTTAAACAGGGTAGGGAAATCAGTGATATTTGTCTTAAACAGGGTCAGGGTATGAGGGGCCGCACTGCACCTCCCCACCAAGGGATATATCGAGTACCCCCCTCCCCCCCGGGGGGGGGGGCATGTCACTGTCACTATTTTATCATTGTATTTGCGAGTGTCACAGCTTCAAACTATCTTCATGTTATTTGCAAACATTTCATCTGACTTACACCACTGTTTAAAGGCCATGTCGCTTGTTGGAATTTTACCCTAAGGGAGCCTCTGTTATGGCAGTTTGGAATGTTGCCATGGTTTATAATGTGTTTTTATTTGATGACTGGACACCTTTTGGGAGGAAAAAGGTTAATTACCTGAGCATCGCTTCTGGCCTCTTTACACTTAGCTGCCACATTATCAAGTTCAGTTTTGTTTCTCCCTCCAAAAGCAACACTGCAACCAAGTTTAGACAACAAAAGAACTGCACCTCGGCCAATACCAGAACTTCCTCCTAAAACATATTTATTAGTAAGTTCTATGGTTAAAACATACGATTGAAAACTGATCTTTCGAATAAAGGAATATAATTCAATAATAATCCTTAGCCTATAGCTATATCCCCCCACCCCACACCGCGTATGTTTAAACATAGCTGTAAGGTGGCAAGTCCCCCAATCCCATGAAATTTCTACTTTCTGATAACAAACGATCCCTCTTAGAAAAGAGAGGAAGAAACAAGGAGCCACATAATATTCACGTACAACCAAAAAGCATTAGCTAATACCTGTTATCAAGGCAACTTTACCAGAAAACGACCTCTCTTGGTCAGACATGATGATTGTTTAAGCACGTGGATGACACATAGGGGTGCTTATATGAAGTAGTAGCTAGGTATCCGCGCCTGGTAGAGTCGCCTGGAAGCTGTTGGACACAGAACACGCTAAAATGCCACAATACGAGCTGTCATTGATAACAAGAATTTTATCGAAGGTGAGAATTACAGATAGAATTCGAAGCTGTCTACACTTACCTTTAAATCTATCAGGGTGTTAGCGTCAATTACCATATAGCTAGAAGTACTCGTTACATCAAAAGTCAGAGTCTTCCCTGACCCTAGCTGTGGCTTCCCTTTCCAACTTGTCTAGGAAGATCGGATCGGCTCATCCTCGGTGAAAGAACCTGTGAAACTCACGAGTGACGTAAAGTAAAGGACGCAAAGAAGTCAACACAATAAAACCTAGGAAAACAAAAGGTCAAAAAACTTCACAGGTTCTTACACCGAGGTAAACCTGGAAGATCAAGGAGTTTCTCAGGAGGCACATCTCCTGAGGACAGGACTTTTTGTACTGTATGATCATGTAGTTGAGCTTCCCGTGAACAGCCACCCAAAATACCAGGAAGAAGAGGAAATATGAAATCTCCCGTTTAATCGGCGAAGTTTGCCATTTCTTCAGCGGACTCGACTTTCCGACATTAAAATTTCACCCCCACAGGGATTTTCGCCCAGAAGGTGAAATCTCGAGGAGGCATCCTGGTAGCTCATGGGTATATTTTAGAAAAGTATGTTCTTACAGTTGAAGTATTCAATCAGTATGCCAGAAAAACTCTCAATTTGCTTGATCAGGGGCTGCATAAAATTGTTGGGTATTGATAACGTTTCTCCTGTTCACGCCCACAAGTATGAGATGGTTAGGGTGACGTAAAACAGAAAATCCCCAAAGGGACCACTTAGGTTGATTTTGCGGCAGTGTGTTATCGCACAGTCATACTTTTTTGCGGTAGCATGTTATCAGTGACATTCTGTGAAGAAAGTTATGGACAAAAAGACACTTGTTAAGTACAGATGAAGTTATAAGGTGTGTGTATTAAACTGAGTATGCATAAATGAACACTTGGAGAGTTTGCCAGACACGAGTATCATTCACAAATCTTTTATTGGAAACAATTTACCAGACACTCTTTCTCTCTCTTTGGGGGAATAATCCACAAAAAAGCAAGATGAGTGAATCAATGGCTAGCGTATCACTAGCAGAACTGTGGACTATTACAGAAATTCACCGACAATTAAATTCTGTGCTGACATTATTCCCTGCTCACAGATGTCCTTCTGTCAAGTTTTTTTAAAAGTGTTGTTAATAGTTTACAAAATGACTAGAACGCACAAGCATGAATTGATCAAACCTTTTAATTTCTAAGGCTTACTTTCCAGCTATTAAAACGAACTGTATGCAAAAACTGAAAGAGAATTAGTGAAAAATTCCAACTTCTTCTTCTGTGTAAATCAAACTGAATCAGTACATGGAACCTTGCTTTTGCTGTTTTCATCTCACCTATTGTATGGTATATGTGTGAAAATCTTCATTATGAATCGGTATATTTCAAAGAGCTACACAACGACCAAGAATACAGTTGACTGACAACATACAGAGTGGGGGCAGCTGTAGTGTCAACTGTTACTAGTGTTAACATTGAACATTTCCTTATAAACTTTGGTATGCCCTTTTAATATAACAATGTGATTGGTGGAAAGTAAACCAATTGGGTCAAATGACACAAAGGCAACATCGTTTTCACGTGTTTTGTGATTCACAAATTCGTGATAATCAGAGTCAACGAGTGTTTTTTGCACAAATGACATCATGTGTCATGCGTTATGACATCATCTACATTATACCTCCCTATCAATTCTCAATATATTTGAAGTCATGGGGGGTTGACAGCCATGTCAACTCTTTTCAAAGCAAAAGCATGTAAATGTACATACATGTACTTGTCAGACTTTGTAAAGCCACAACAAAGACCCAGGGGAGTAGGCTGATTTTTTTTTTAAAACAGAATAGCTTAAGCTGTTTGATCAGATGACAGTTTTTTTGAACATGTAGAGCTTAAGATGTTTGATTGCCTGACAATATTTTCATCCTTTATTAAATTGTCTGATTTGTTTCTTAAAGGAAATGTGAGAAACTCTGTATGGATGTTGGGGCTTAAAGGATTAAAGGGGGTTTTTCAAGACTTAAATGTTGTGCTTTTTTGACAGGAGGGATTTGCCTCTGTTCTTCGTCGGACAGCTCTATCTATTATGGACAAAGGGGGAGTAGTAAGAAAAATGGAAAACCTAGGAGAGCAAGAGCTTCCCCACAGAATGAGAGCACATACTGAATGGCATACACATGGCAGGTAAGTTGGTAGCCATTAATAAAGTACAATGTGAAAAGAAATTATTAAGTTACAGTGGAACCTCAATTTAATGTTCAAACCTCAACATGTATATAACCAAGAGCCCATAACCTGGAGTGAGCAACTCCCTTGTGCTCATGCAACAGCATTTTCACAGACCAGTTTATTTTTAGATCAATTTTCCCACAAATTTTGACTACATGTATCAAATAAGCCTTACAAATCAATCAGCAAAAACTGGAGACCAAAAAATGTATTTCTGATGTTTTGACAGACATGAGTATTTGCTCTCTCTTTTTGGTGTAGGTATTTTCGTACTATTGATGGGCACAAATATGAAAAGGTGCTTCTGTTTTTATGAGAAAAGTACTCCAAACTGATGCTAAAAATAAACTGATCTGTAAAAACACTGTTGCGTGGGCCAAGCATGAGAGTTGCATGCTCCAGGTTATGGGCTCCTGACAGGCACAGATCTAAGATAAGTCCCCTTTCTTGGGTTTCTGAGTCATTACGACAGGTTATTGGCCAGCTCCTTTCTCCTTGCAATTCGGCGGATCATTTCGTCAAGGCCAGATATGAAGCAAGATTTCAACTTGGAAAGTATTTTTATTATTAAAAATATTATATTCATTAAGTAAAATTTGACCGATTTCCATAAAAATGGCGGAAACAAGTGTGGATCCGCACCTGCCTGATATAACAAACTCCTTGGTATGAAATTATTTTGAACAATATTCCTAGCCCAAGAAATAGTAATGTGAAAAGAACCGCGATATAATGAAACCTACTTATAGCAGGCATATTAATTTGGTCAGTCCGTTGACCCTTCATTATATCAAGGTTCCGCTGTGAATATATTATCAACAGTGTTAGTACAACTTTTAAATTATGATAAAATTAAACCCCCCTGGCTGAACTTTTTCATACTATTATTCATTTCTTAGGATTTTATTAAAAGAAATTAGAATTCTTTAGTGAACTTATCTTTGGCCACTGTTAGGAAATGGTTATGCACAGGCATTCCACCTACCCTCATTCCCAAGAAGAGGAGAAAATCCTGGGAATGAGGTTGATACTTCACTTTCCTTGACTTTAGCCTCTGCATAGTTACTATCTTGGCCTGTGTAGCAAGTGTTTCCGTGCGAGTTTGTAGCGTGGTAAAAGTGCTCTTGTTTTCAATGTTCTGCGGAAAAAACTTATGTACAAATGCTTGCTGCAGCAAGATATTATTATTATTATTATTATTATTATTATTACTATTACTATTAATACAAGTGCCTATATGTTCTAGAATTAACAGTTAGTTTCGAGTCTAACCTTAATAACAATGCAGTGTGTAAAAAAGAAAAATATCTGAACTTGATCAAAGAAATGAGTAGAAATTACAGATGTGTGAAATTTGTAAATCTCTCTTTGAGCTCTCTTGGCATTATTTTCTCTGATGAATGTTCCATGTTCTTAGACATGATGAATAACAACATATTACATCTTTTGTTGTAGAAATAGGAATTGGGATAGCCCAGACTTAATGCAGTTGGGTTTTTTTTTTCTTTTCTTTTCTTTTCTTTTTTCTTTCTTTCTTTTCTTTTTCGAATAATCCAATCTCAAGCTGCATTTGTAAATTGCCTATACATAGCGAGATTTACAATTGTACATTCAAAAACACAATAAAGTTTCTATTATTATTGAATTCTTATCATTATCTTGATATAGGAAAACCTTAATATGTTATTGTCGATATTTATTTTCTTTAGATACTTCTTGATGCACTTTGACTTAGGAACAGAAGGTCTAAAGGAACTGAAGCACGAGTTAGGCACAGACACAGATCTTATACGGCCACGTATCATCAAAGTAAAAAGCCGTTATGATTCTTTGAAACACAGACATTCCTTGTTAGAATGCTGGGAGAGTTACAAGCCTCCAAGTAGCTTTCAGCCAGGATGATAACAAGGAATGGAAAAGACATTTCATGCATTTTTCATTTGTACTTGTAAATAAATGAATAAAAATTATTTAATGTTGTTGGTTTCGAAATTGCTGTTTACAGGCAATTAGGTTACAGGGAGCTTTTACTGAGGAAATACAACAGTTTAAGAAATATATATTTCGAGTTTCTAGTGAACAGAATGTAGCAAATTAAAACCCCCAGCAGGCATGAGGTGGGCCAGTTAACTATTTGGGCATAGGCTAAGAGCTGCAATACCTACAGATATAGCTACCAACAGCTAATCATTGAAAGACACAAACATGGGCTCTTGGCATTTTGAGCCTTGCTGGGTCTAGCCTTCAAGCAAGTAGGTGGGCATAATTGAGTGAAAAACAATATGGATCAGAAATTCGCCCTCAAGGAGTGCCGAAGGCGAGACTTTCTAGGTGGGACCGGGGAACGGTACGGGTTCAGAAGGCCAGGAAATCCCCCTTTTTTTTACGCCTTGACGAATGAATGCGCCACAGGTGGAGACTTTCCGTACCTTTTTCAACTAGACCATTAATGGAGTCTCCAGGCAGAGTACTTTCGCTCCAATCCATTGCTGACCACATCGGAGGATCTGGTGTGTGTGATGTAACGAAAGAATATATAGCGAGTGCAGTGGAGCTCGAGAGGAAAGAGGCCTCTGAACAAGTCGTCTTACATTAGGCTTCTACGTACAGCGATTTACTGGCACGTGCGGAGATGACTAGCTTGTTCAATAGGAGGTTACAGGAGATTGCCATTTTTATTTTTAAAATCAAGAATAACTTTTTATCTACAAATATATTAGTAAGAACTATTTCCTCATTTACAGGTAGATTACAGCTGAGAATACAATCTACGAAATTTAGATTTTTATTTTCCCAAGAGTAAAATCTGTTGCGTAAGGAAAACACTCACTTAAGTTTTTCAGACCCTACTTATGGTCGAAGTTGAATATAAGCGATAGAAAAGAGACATCCCTAAAGAGATTCAAAGAAACTAAAAGAGTAAGGATCTGGAAAGGAGGGGGGAGGGGTGGTTAAGTCAAGGGAAAACATGTAAGGGATGCTATATATCCTGATGCTACCTACTCGATACTCGGGCGCGGCTACCGATGCACAACCTTGGTTAGGATAAAAGAAGTGAAGGCGTAGTATTGTAATAAGCTTATTTAGAAACAGATACCTTAGATAGCTGGATTATTTATTTAGCTTTGGTTTGAATTGGATGTTTAGAAGGTGATATCTTTAAGCATTTATATGTTAACAAATTTAGAATTAATTAGTTTAGATATAGTGGATATAGTGATAAATCTGAATATGGTATTGTAATACTAATGTTTAGATTAAAGTGTAACCGATTAATGGGCCTCTTTGGGCATGCTTGAAGATTTTGTCAAAATTTTGACGTATAGTAAAGTTTTTATGTAGTTTTTTTTTTTTTGTTATGTCAGGTAAACTTTCTCGTCTTACTAGGGAACTTAAGCACCAGACGTTTTTCGGGCGACGGCGACGTCTACAAACGAGCGAGCCTGGGTAAGAGGGCGCCGTCGTTCCCGCCAAAATCCAGACTTAAGCAAAGAAGTATTTTTGCGACGGCAACCCATTCGAAACCTGTCTCGAAAGCTTGAAAAAAACCTGTGAAAATGTCTTTTCGTGAAACAAGAGAGATGCTGTTACTAGCGTATGATAGTAAAATAATTTCTGATGAAGAATTCTTGGTCTTGTGGGAGAGCTACCGTTGCAAGAACCCTGATTTTCCGTACAGTTTGTATGCAAGATTTGATCTTGAAAACGTTGACGAAAGCGAGTGTTTGGCAGAGTTCAGAGTCCAAAAACAAGACATCCCTTTGCTGGCAAACGTTCTTCAACTACCAATGAACATCCATTGTCCACAAAGAACAATCTGTGATAGAATTGAAGGTTTATGCATGCTACTGAGAAGGTTTTCTTACCCTTGCCGCTATTCAGATATGATCAGCCGGTTTGGAAGACCAGTTCCAGAGTTATGCATGATTACGAACGAAGTCATGGACAACATTTTCAACAATCACAGCCACAGAATATCTCAATGGAATGACGATATTTTGAACCCTCAGTTGTTACAGGAGTATGCTGATGTCATACATGCAAAAGGCGCCCCACTAGAAAATTGTTTTGGATTCATAGATGGGACAGTGAGACCGATCGTCGTCCAGATCAACAGCAAAGAATTGTGTATAACGGTCACAAACGTGTTCACTCATTAAAATTCCAGTCTGTTGCACTACCAAATGGGCTCATTGGGAATATGTATGGCCCTGTTGGTATGTTAGTCATCTACATTATTTTTTATTACAAAGATTTTTTCACAATATAGTAGGCTGCTTTTTGGTAGAGAGAGGGTCTGTGTTGCCTTGTTTCTTTGTTTATTCACACTTTTGTCAGTAAGTGCCCACTAATAACAATAATAATAACAATAACAATAACAATAACAATAATAATAATAATAATAATTTTTTTTATAAAATATAAAACTTTATTAAAACTTCACAATAATTACAAAGATTAAAAAGGCTAAAAGATGAATAATAATAATAATAATAATAATAAATAATGATAATGTAATAATTTTATTGGGCTCACTAATAATAATAACAGCACACATTCTCAGGAAGATTCTGTTGTAGAAGGGGCATGAAACAAACAAGGACTGAATGCACTTGCTGAGACGGTCCTGTGACATTTGGTGACCCTAGACCCCTGTTGGGGTCTGATCTATTTCCAGCCAAGTACCCCAACTGTGAATAAAGTTGTGGTGTGCCATAAGAATAATAATCATCATTATTATTAACTTATGATTATGATAATTGTCATTATTGTTCTTGCTTGCAGAGGGTAAAAAGCATGATGCTAGTATGCTGGTGGACTCCAACCTTCTTCATGAGCTCGAGCAAAATGCATTTTCCCCCACTGGAGAGCCTATGTGTGTGTTTGGCGACCCTGCTTACCCTTTACGTGTGCACCTTCAGGCACCATTTCGTCATGGTATACTAACCCCAGCGATGGAAGCATAATTATAATGCAGAGATGAGTTCTGTCAGAGTGACTGTCGAGTGGCTCTTTGGCGATGTTATTAATGATTTTAAATTCTTGGACTTCAAAAAGAATTTAAAAATTGGCATGAGCAGTGTTGGAAAAATGTACCTAGTCTGTGCTATTCTTAACAATGCAATAACCTGCTTATATGGAAACAGCACCTCGGAGTTTTTTGGGCTAAACCCTCCTTCCTTACAGGACTACTTCACATAAATCAAATGTATTGAATGAATTTATTTCAGTGAAAGTAAACATACATATCAGTAGTGTTTCCTGATTTAAAGGACAGTGGTTTACTGGAATAAAAAGACCAGAGTCATACTTAAAACTTACGACAAATGAGTAAACGTAACACAGCAAAACACAAAGGCTGACTGCCAAGTAATGAACAGTTTGTTTTTAAGTTCTTACAGCACATAAGCTTAATATGAGCTGTATTGTTAAATCAAAACTTGACTCAGAAGAGGCAGGCAGACAGCCCATTTTCGTAAACACAATGCTTTGTCCCTAACTCAAGGGACTATAATTAACGTGTATAAACTGTTAAACTACAAAATTTGTAAAGGACGATTAAAGTGTTCTTTCTTGAATGATCTAACCTAAGATCTTACTTCTTGACCATATTTTACATCATGGTCATCAATGCCTGTGAAATTTGCACTTGCTGCTCTGTTTGCTTCCGTAGCAGTTCAATCTGTAGCTCTTGTTGTCTGGCCCTTACTTCCTGCTCCTTTCTTTGCAGCTCTAGCTCCTGTTGGCGAATGGAATACTCACTTTGAGCTTTTTCTTTCAAGAATTCAACCGCATCACCCCCGCTTCTTCGGCTCTTTTTGGCGGTGTGCGACAAACGCAGACTGCAGACTTGCAGACCTGCAGACCTGCAGACCTGCAGACTTGCAGACTAGCAGACTTGCAGACTCGAAGATTTGCAGACCTACATTTTTTGTGACAGGGCTTTGGACTAATTTTATTCATCCTCTGTTTACTGTTGGCGAATCGCAAAGTATGTCTAAGGCAAACAACAGCGCTAACGGGCTGCAAACACAACAGTGCCCGATTCGACAGGTGACTGGAAATCCTTGCCGTGGAAGACTTAACATCGGAAGAACAGTGACCTAAACTTCAGCGAGAGCAGCGAAGAAGAAGACGGGTGGGATCATCGAGCGGCTTTAAAACGGAAGGACATCTGTGAGCAGGAAATAAGTCAGCACAGAATTTGATTGTCGGCGAATTTCTGTAATCGTCCATCGTTCTGCTAGTGATAAGCTAGCCGTTGTTCACTCGTCTTGCTTGTTTCGGGCTGAGTCTTATTCCGGTCAAAGAGAGAGAAAGAGTGTCTGGCAAGGTTTCCAATCAAAGATTTGTGAACTCGTGTCTGGTAAAATCTCCAAGTGTTTCTATATACACGGTTGTACGCACCTTATAACTTCATCTGCGCTTAACGAGTGTCTTTTGGTCCATAACTTTCACTGAACCAACTGCTCCACAGAATGTCACTGATAACAAGTAACGCAAAAGAGTATCGAAGTATGAGTGCACAATAAATGTCACAAAATCCACCTGACCGGTCCCTTCGAAATTTTCTGTCTTCATCACGTCATCATTACCTACCGATTCCTCGCGGCCCCTGTTCAAGCAAATCGAGATTTTTTTCTGCCATACTGACTGTATATTACAACTGTAAGTACTTTCCTTAATATACGCGCGAGTTACTAGAGTGCCTCCTCGGGATTGAACCTGCCGGGGCAATTATCCCCCCCCCCCTCCCCGTGAGTTCCGAACGTCTTTGCAAGTCCGCAAGTCTGCAAGTCTGCAAGTCTGCAGGTCTGCAAGTCTGCAGGTCTGCGGTCTGCAAGTCTGCAGTCTGCGTTTGTCGCACACCGTCTTTTTGGCGCTGCCGCCAGCAGATTCGGTTGATTTTCTTTTCATGCGTTCCATGGCTTTCTTTCTGATTTCTTCAGCTGCCTCTTTATCATCTGACTTTTTCTTGTCTTTGGCCGAAAAGCTATCTTCTCTCTCACATAACTCTTCTATTAGCGTATCTGTCTCAGATAACTCGCAATCAATGCCACTGGCTTGTAGCTCTTCTCGTTGCGTGCGTTTAAACTTGGCCTGAAGCAGATTCCATCGGTCTCTGACTCCCCTCTTCTCCTTTATCATAAATTTTGGATTATCAAGCTTGTTCAATCTTTCCTGGATTGACTCCCAGATTTTGCCACGGTCTGGACTGCCTTTCTTGCACTGAAAAAATTCGGTAGCAATCATTTCACGCAACAGGAGAATGTCATGGTCATCTGTCCATTCCATTACAGGTTGTTTTTTGGTAGCCATCTTCACGCTATAGAGATCTAAAAAGTTAAAAAAAACAGACCTGTAATACACGACAATCGCTCCTACAATCGCCAAAACGACAGAATAAAATTTTACGTATCACTAAGTGCAAAACATCGCAGGCAAAATGATATAAAAGCACGAAAATCATAAAAGCAAAACTCACGTTTTACAGGCGACGTCAAAATAAGCAAAACAAAGTCGGCGCAGAGTCGCGACGGCCGACTCTGTCGGCGGGAAACGTGGATCGGAAGTAAATTTGACTTCCGGTTGCCGTCGCCCCGTAGAAAACGTCTGGTGCTTAAGTTCCCTACTTTATACCAGGCACATTCCTTATCTATTATCCGCACTCAAATCCGAACCCTTATTGGCCACTCCAGAAAATACCATAACATACCATAATGCTTTTTGATTGTCGCCCCAAAGTTTTGCATAAGCATTGTCTTCAGTTTCTCTTGGGAGTTAAAATGGCCCCAAGAGAAACTGAAAACAATGCTTATGCAAAATTTTGGGGTGACAAACAAAGAACATTATGGTATGTTATGGTATTTCTGGAGTGGTCAATTTTTTGGTTGTGAAATCCTACGGGTTATTAGGTGTTATTTGTTTTATTATTATTATTTTTATTTACCTTTTTTCGTTTGATGGGTCCAAATTTCGACGGGTTCAACCACCTGGACCCAATTCAAAAACTTCAAAAACCCGTCATCGTCGACATCCTCGCTAATGGTGCCCCCTCGTCCCCAGGAACCTACGACAGAGCTCCAGATTCAATACACCCCAAAATAAGGCCAGGTTGCTAAGAATGTATTGCTTTGATATTGCGTGAGAAGAAATTTACACGTGCCAAAACCGGCTAAAGACTGGCAAAAGTAGAGGAAAAACTCAACATAGTCTCTTGTTGTAGTTTCTATGCTACAGAGGCTATTGATCTCAAGGCTTCTTTTGAACAAATTTGGACAGTTGACTACAGGCGGTGTTGATCTTTGCTTGGGCAGGCTTGACCTTTTCCGTGGACTCTACACAGGAAATATGGCTTCCAGTGCGAATGGCCCGGTTTCCGCAGACGATAAATTTAATTTGATCACGAGAAATTTACAGGTTTGTTTGATCCTTTTAGTCTTAACTTAATATATTTTGAACTGATGCGCTTCAGTTACTTACTTGAGTTCCACACTACTCATTAAGTGGTTTTAATTTCTCTTTCGTCCGCTATTCCGGGAAACGTTTTCACTATTGAAGACCAAAACAAGTTGGTCTGGGCGTCCGTAATCGAGGTTTCTAAAAGGCGAGAGTTGATTGTACTCACGTTTTTACTCTTTTTTCTATCAGGAGGTGATAGGGGAAGATCGCTTGAGGTCCTTGTTACAGGAAAAACATATTTCTTTGTACTGGGGTACTGCTACCACAGGAAAACCACATGTTGCTTATTTTGTACCAATGACAAAAATTGCAGACTTTCTGAAAGCAGAATGTGAGGTGAGTGATTATCTTTGTTTTCTGCTCCTTCCGTCTGCTTATGTCAGTGCCCCATTATATTAAAAAGGTCTAAAGAGACAGAAATGTTTTAGACTACTGAGCAGAATTCCAGCAGAAATTAGGTATCTGAGCAGAATTTGAATTTTCAAAGAGAATAAACTATTTTTATATTAGCATGTCAAGGGTCAGAATGAAGTAATTTTATTAACAATTTTTATTCAAACAAATATGGTGACCATGAAATCAGAAACATTTTCAGGGATGCGCGGAAAAATTAAGACCAATCACTTCTGATTAACTGCTTTATTTTCCTTCAGAGTTGCATCTCATTTTTCTTTGGTGAACCAAACTTAGGGGGAATCTAACTTGAGACCAGGAAAGACTTCACCACTTGGGATCTTTATAAGCACCCCTAGCTTTGAAAAATGATATTTTGGAAGAAGAAAACTCATTTCCTTATTGGGAGAAGTAGGTTTACATATGTTAGCCTAAACTGCAGACAGAACTAAACTTCTGGTCAAGTCCGTTTGTGAAATAGTGCTGGATTCCTTGTTCTGAGTCCCCACCTGTGTACAGGATTTGAGTATGTGCCATGATTTGCCTGTTAAAAAAAGCCATTGATAATTTACAATTATTTTGCTAATCTGGTTGAAGGGAAATTTGAAATACATTTCTGGTAATTTGTAGTGTCTATTGGGCCCCAGAACAAGGATATTGTGGCTGCTTTGCAGATGTTACTAACTGGGGTTATATGAAGATTGCATCTGCAAAACAGACTAGCTAGTTTATGTAGGAGAACTGGCTATGAGTCAAAGAGTTACCTGACCTACTTTATCCCAGGCAGAAATTAAATTACTCATTATCTCAAAATGGTACAAGGATAATATCCCACTGGAGGTTCACATGCAGGTATAATAATGGTGGCAAGGGGTAAGAAGTTCAGATATTTGAATAACCATACATAAAACACAATTCAGCTGGATTGCTAGGTTCTTGGTGTTGCTGACAAGTTCAATCACCAAGGTGCAATCAATCACCTATGAAATGATGTAATACAAAAGGTTGAAAAGGCGTTTAAACAATACCCACCCCACAACACAAAAGTGAACCAACAATATTCTCTGCAACACCAAGAGACACCTGCTAGACCCAGCCTAAAGATTAACAAAACACTCCTTCCCCCGTCAAAAAAGGAAGCAAAAAGAAAATACATAGCCATTTTAAGACCTAAGCTAAGTGACCCAGTTTGAGATAATGTGAGGGAGTGCTAACCTCTTACCAGTTAATCAAAGAAATTTGCAGCTTACAATGTACATCATTATATTAACCCTTTGAGTCCCAATAGTGACAAAGATCAAGTTTCTCTTAATGATATCCATACACTGTTGAGAGATAAGTTGTGAGAATTAATAAAATGATCAACCAAGAGAAAATGCCTTGATCTATTATCAAATTCTCACAACTTATTCTTTAAGGAAATGTATGGAGATCAGTTTGGAGAATTTGTATGTGGATACTGGGGCTTAAAGGGTTAATATAGTTAACATTTTTGTTTTTTTAGACATGTACATGTTGTCTGCTGGTTTGTTTCATTCTACGAAATCAAAAATTCTTTTTTTAGGTAACAGTTCTGTTAGCTGACCTTCATGCATACTTGGATAATCTTAAAGCACCGTGGGAGCTGTTGGAGTACAGAGTGAAATACTATGAGGAAGTTATCAAGGTTAGACAAAAATTATGAGACTTTTTTTTTTACCAGACTATTGATTTTTAAGAAGGAGTTGGTCTAGTGTGTCCTGTATAAATGCCTCTTTGGGTAAATGTTACAACTGACTCAAGTTAAAATTTTTGAACCAAGGTTGATCGTCAGTTTGCTTTGTTTCGTATCCCTAATTATTCATGAATTAGGGCTAGGAGTCAAAGAAAATTGAGAATCAACCTTGGTTACATAAATAAATATATTTTGTATTTTTTTGATATTATTCTTCTTATTATTATTGAACATTTTTGTCAGTTTGATATTCTTTAACTTTATACTTTATACAGGTTTATACTTTTTATATAAGGCCCTCCAAATAATATCCCCCCAAAATCGTAACGCAAAAAAACCCTTCGTTAAATCGCTCCTCTGAATATAAGCCCCTCAGGGGGCTTGTACTTGGAATTTGCCCTGCAATACAAAGCAAAAATGGTAAACTTCCTTCCCACGTACTAGCTAGCCCAATCGATTTTGAAACACAAATTTCCCTCCGTAGATAAGCCCCAACGAATATAAGCCCCTCAAAACGGGCCTTTGAAAAATATAAGCCTCGGGGCTTATTTTCGGAATTTTACAGTATCCTCACTGACCGATTAACTTGTTACAAACCGAAATAATAATTATGCACATCTGTCACTTTTAATATGATTTTTTGTTTGAAAATTGATTTTCTCGTACAGGCCATGTTGGAATCAATAAATGTTCCTTTGGAAAAACTAAAGTTTGTGAGAGGAACAGAGTATCAGCTAAACAGGTGACTGAAACCTTCACTTAACTAATTTCAGTCACTCATTGCAGTTTAAGCTGAATGTTTTTTGTTTTGTTTTTTTTTGTTTTAATAATTAAAGAAAAGAAAAGATGTACATGTACAAATAAGGATAACAGTAAGAATTTTTTTCTCTCTTTTTGTCTGGCAGAGATTATATTTTGGATGTTTTCAAAATGACGACAGTGGTCACTGAGGTAACTTTCCTCTCACATGTTCTTTTCTTCAGCTTATTTATCACAGTTACCATTAATGATTGATAATTACTGTTTATAAACAAATTGTTAAATTATAATAAAATTATTGAGCTGGTGGCAATGCCCAACATATTTTCATGCCATCATTAATCTTATTTTGGGAACTCTGTAATAATAATTTTATGACCTGAATCACTGAGTGAAGACATCCATCTTGCATTTATATATTTTTACTATTATTTTATATTGTTGTTTTTCTTTTTATTTGTCACTGTTTGTGGCTCTGTCCCTCCATCATTGGGAAGTTATGTGAGGGAACCACAGGGGAGGTGAAGACAGTGGTGGATTTTACTTACCACAATTAAAGCAGGGATGTAAAAACTCTCCATTTTTGACAATGTTAATTATGTGGTTTGCAATTTTCCTCCTTGAGGCCTACAGTACAATCCTCTACCTGATTAGTTTTTTTCTTTACTGTCAGCATGATGCCAAGAAAGCTGGGGCTGAAGTTGTAAAACAAGTGCAACATCCTCTGTTGAGTGGTCTGTTGTATCCTGGGCTACAGGTGAACACTGATGAATATCTTTGGTTTGAACATACTTTCCCTTTTGAATTAAGAGGCCCTATTTTGGTTAAATTCTGACACAGAGCATTGCTTTGAAACAGTTACATACCAATAAGACAGATTAAACCAATAAAAAGAGGGGTTTGCCTAAAACTTACAATCCGGAATCCGGAATAAACCCGAATGACTCTGAAGTTTAGTGTTTAGGGTTAAGTAAACTAGTGAATCAGGTTCAAATTAGGGTCAGCATTAACTGACCTGAAACTTGATTCACTCAGTTTCCTAACTCTGATCACTATAGAGCGGTTTTCACTTGACTGTCGTAAAACCAAAACCAAAGTAAATACACTAGCCAACCAAAGGGCGTAGTAAAACCAAAACCAAACTAATTCCTCAATTACTTTCGACAGTCAAGTGAAAACCGCTCTAAACTTCAGAGTCATTCGGCATTCAGTAAGGGTTTTTTACAGATTCTGGATTCCGGATTTTAGGCAAACCCTAAAAAGAGTAAAATAGTAGATGTTGACTGTAACTGGACTAGTTATAACCAGTATCACCCAACCGTTAAGGGGCAATACTTGAAAATTGTTCATCTTGTTTCGTTAAGGCTCTTGATGAAGAATTCCTCAAGGTGGATGCACAGTTTGGAGGGGTTGATCAGCGCAAAATATTCACTTTGGCTGAAAAGGTAATTGTTATTTCTATTACATGTAATTGTTTGTGCCTTATTTGCAATCTGCAGCTCAGTAGGAAGATAATTTATCTGATTTCAGAAAGCAGCGAAAAATATAGGACTGCGATAAATTGAGCAATGGTATTCATGGCTACAAACAAAAGGGGCTCTACTAAGGGTACTTTCATAATGACTATATTGTAGTTGTGGGGAAAAGATTGTTGAATCCATGAAGTAGTATTTTTATTCTCATTTCTGTAAGTTAGCCAAGTTGAAGTCCATGCTGTAAATTTTGGACGTTAATCTTTAACAAATTGACCAATTACTAGGCAAAAACAGACTCAGCCATATTATTGTGTTATTGTTTTATTATTATTGTTGTTATTATTATTATTATTATTATAATATATATAATTTACAGGGCTGTAATTTTTTTTCTCTTGAAAGAACATATGTCCTACCAAAGAAACCATCTTGGTTGGACAAAACAAATTTTGTTCGGACATCACCAATAAAAGGTTGAACTTCATATACTTTAATTCTTTAGGTAGATTTTTGTTCCTCCTTACCCTAAAATGATTTACGATAAATATATACACTGTATCTGCATGCACCTTATTGCAATAACAGCATCATAGAACACTGATAAAAAAGCTACACTAAGGAATTTAGAAGGCAGTGCCATCACTAAAACAAGACAGGTTCTTCCAGAGGGCTTGATGGTTACTACTGTAGATGAAACTGAATTAACTTGCTGACGTGCAGAATCCAATGCTCAGCTGACAGCTCTGAATTCATCAAGCTTATTCCTATCTTCTTTTAAATATTTTTGCTTTTTTTTTCTGTTACAACATTATTGCTACTTGAAACCCACACCATTATAAGGATCTAATTGGCATTATGTTATTAATTTTGTTTTTAGTACCTCCCTTCCCTGGGATACAAGAAAAGAATACATCTGATGAATCCCATGGGTAAGTTTATTAATAATTTTGAACTACATGTACATACAGTGAGTTATTTCTTAACTGAGCAACTCATGTTCCTGCAATTGGCGTCAAAATCACTGAGACATTGTCCTTGAATGGGGTAACTTCAAAGAACAGGACAATCCACCCCCCACCCTCTTTCTCCTCCATCGCAAGTTGGGGTGTTTGTTGTTTTCTGCAGGTAGCTTGAACAGTGGTACAACATCACATGGAGGTTGTGGAGGATAGAGAATTTTTTTCTCTTTTTTTTAGCTGGCAAAATGTTATAGAGGCCCTTTAGGGCAAAGTGTCTCAACTAATTTTGCCGCCAATTTTTGCTTTTTCCTGCTGAATATGGCTACATGGTGTAACAGTAGAATATTATTGTTTATTGATTGACAGTCCCAGGACTAACAGGAACCAAGATGAGTGCCTCTGATGAGGTAAGGCTGACCTCCCAAATGGAACTAATTAATATATAATTAATGCTTAATGAAGGCAATGATAGGAACAATTCTTATGATCATCTTGAGTGACTTTTTTGTCATTTTTTGCCCTTTTTAAAGGATTCAAAAATTGACCTTTTGGATAGTGCATCTGCTGTGAAGAAAAAGCTGAACAAGGTCAGTTTCAACTCCACTTGTTCTTTCATTTATTTTTTTTACGTGAAAATGAAATATGGCTTTTTCTCCGAGCACCATGCGAGCAAGGGCTCCATTTCCTTGTGCGAGATTGAGGGTACTTGAGAGGTAGAGAAAAACGAATTTTAAGTGTGCTTAAAATTAGAAGCATAAATCTTAAGAAAATTGAAGTCGATTCTTTAAAATGGAGAAGATTTTATTGTGTTTCATAGCTTTTTCGAATAACACGCGACCTGCGATGTCAAAAACGTCTTTGGCATGGATTTTGGATTTTTCTGAGATGTCAATCAAAATTTGAAGGCTAGGTGCCTATTTTTTCCACTCTTTCTTTTGTCAATTGGGAGGATTTATTCTTTGATGTTCTTTTGTGTGATGAACTTTTTACATTTTAGCTCTCAAGTTATTTCACCTTCTTACTGAAACATAGCAAGATGAGATTCCTAAGCTGTAGACGACTGCGAAATTGTTCCTTTAGAGCTTATTGGCGCCTTTATTTGGCAAGCAAGGATTTGATGCTACGGTAACGGTTTGATTGACTTCGAAGAAAAACCCAAAATCCCAAAACATTTCTAACAACGCAGGTCGCGTGTTAGCTCATACTATCCGAAACAGCTGTAACAGTCTAAGATACCGTGGGTGTCCTGAAAAGTAACATTAAAATTGTGCTGTCAACGTGATATGAATCTAAAAATTATAAAGCTGCAAGTCCGTGATAGCGAGTCAGTCAGTCATAGCGTTTAAGTTTTTCATTTTTCCTTCTTGTTGCTTATTCTGTTGTTGTCGGCAAGGTGAGAGTCAACTGCACAACTGCATTTGTCGGAGCGCTTTTTTCATAGTGAAAAAATTCTATCTCACTCACATACGCTTAGCTTAGAAAACAGCCAACATTTCACGACTCCATCACTGGTTACCCCGCGAAATGAGGTCTAAGGAGGAACGACCGCAGAAATTCATACTGATGACACATCACTACCCAAATCTGGGTAGTGCTTCTGATTGGTTGAAAAATTGCTTCATCCGATGAGAAGCATTACTCAAATCTGGGTTGTGACACGTCGTCAGTATGGAATTTCTACGCTCGTTCCTCAGACGTCATTTTGCGGGAGCACCAGTGGTGGCGTCCTGAAATGTTGTCTGTTTTCTCAGGCTGTCACATGCTCTGGTTCATCTAAATCACAGTCATCATCATGTAATTCCATTTAAAAATCCTTCTTCCTCACCCAGGTTATAATACTTTAAACTTTTAAAATTGTTTAAAATTTTAAATTGTTTTCTTTTGTGTGTCTTTAGGCCTTCTGTGAAGAAGGAAATATTGAAGAGAATGGTCTTCTTGCTTTTGCCAAGTTTGTCATTTTCTCAATTCTGGAAACTAGGCATCAAACAGGTTTGCATCAATTAATCTTTCAATTTCTGGAGACTTGAATTGCCTCGGTAACGGTTGAGCCCCCCTTGCGTTTGGCCTCATTTCTAATATCACTTTCATAATTAACCGCTAGTCTAAAACGTCACTCACTGTATTTTTGAGAGTGTTGCAGCGTGTGGCTATTGTGGTTCAATTTTGTTTCCAACTCAGTTCCATATCGTTCATTGGCATACCTAAAAACAAAGGAAAGGAAAAATTTGAACCAAGGAAAAATTAATCGGACCACAACTTAGCCACGTCAAGTGAAACATAATTATTGCATGCACATTGCTTGTAACCGACTTTTTTACAATTTTCATTTGCAATAAGGGGGTAAGGATTGTAAGAGTTTTCTCCTTTTTCTTCCTTGATTTAGAATTTGTGATAGAAAGAACTGAAGCAAATGGAGGAAAAGTTTCATTTAAGGATTACGCATCTCTTGAGCAAGCTTTTGCCAGGAAGGTAAGTTCTCACATAGATTATTATGGTGCTTAGAACAGCTACCCAAAACACCTATTGGCAGGCTGTCGTGGCTGTCGGGTTTTGGCCAACTCATCAAGCGAACCAACCACCCAGCGATAGTTTAAGGACAATTTAAAGGCACTCGCACGGGTAACAGCATTTGGCTTTTAAACTGTGCAATTAAACTGACACGTAACGTATGTCACCATGAGTATAAAAGTGAAGAGGTAACGTGTGTCCACCCTACCCATACCCCCAGGGGGAAGTACCCCTCAGATACGTGTGTGCCGGCTAGCTTCCCATGCAAACGTTCTTAGTGTTTCATCTTGCGTCCCCCACCCCACCCTTAGCCCAGGTTTGCTAAACCATGACCCTGTTATGACACCCTATTCAAGGGAAAAATAAAAACCAACGAAACCAAGAATTTCATGGCAACACACAAACCTCCATTACATCGCTCTCTTTTTACTCTAAAGGGGTAGTTCAATTGTTTTTCTTGTACCTGAGAATTTACGCCCTTGAAAAACAGCTGATACAGTCTAGGTAATCTATGTAGGGTCACGCTGCGAAAATAATGCCAACCATGGCAAAACGATTCGTTATTATTTTAGGGATCGAGACCCTCAAAAACCGCACCCGACTTGATAAGTCCTAATGAGGACGAAACAGCTGTCCATGGCTGCCACTACCGGGGTGATGTTTGTGCGCATGTGTAAGGTACTGGCCATACCGCGGAGTTGGTACATGTGTTTCAGTGCTTAAATTGGTATAGCTCATACCTATCTGGCCCATGTATGCGAGTTATCTTCCCCCGAGGCCCCTGGATAGCAATAATAATCAATCAATCAATCAATCAATCAATCAATCTACGTATCTGAACACAAATGATCTTCTTCTGCAGAATATTAAATTCACAAGTTAACCAGAGCACTTCCACTGTTTGTACTACGCGACGAACGTCAAACCCTGTAAAACGTATTGCTTTTATATTACCATAGTATTTCTGTCGTGTTAGGAGCTGCATCCGCTGGATCTTAAAACAGGAGTGGCGACCTTCTTAAATGAGGTAAAGAGGATTGAATTTTAGTTGTGTTGCAATTTTGTATATTTTTGCATTCGTTTACTTTTACACAGTCTTACTGATACTTGCTCTCTTTTTAAGCTTCTGGAGCCAATAAGAAAGAAATTCCAAACTCCTGAGCTACAGAAGCTGACCAAGCTTGCTTATCCTGAGCCCAAGAAAGCAAGTATGTTTCAAGGAACTGTACGTTGTTGTCTTTGCTAAACATATGCCCTGTTGTCCATAGCCTACTCCAGGCGTTCAGATAGTGGAGTGCGGTGCGAAGTCAGAGGGCGGGAAGAACGCCTGGAACAGGCTATGTTGCCCTGGGTACCAGAGGCGTTTTTCTCGCGTGCGTCCGGATGCTTTAGTGTCGGCCGCATGCCGGCAGCTCTTCCTCCGACGGCCGAAGCCACGAGCACCGAAACCAGACAACGGGCATGAAACGTCTCTGGCACCTTACAATTTACCTTCCCTCAAATTAGCCTAAGAAAACAGCCGATATTTCACGATCCACCACTTGATTCCCCGCGAAATGACGTCTTGGGAAGTAGGTAGAAATCCCATTCTGATGACCTGTCACTTGAAACTAGTTGTGCGTCGCGAAATGTTGGCCGTTTTCTCAGGCTACTCCTGAATGTATTTCTCGTTTTACAGAAGGTGGGAAGGGAGGTGCGTCTGCCAACCCAGAGAGAGCAGTTGATCCGTCCAGATTAGACCTGAGGATCGGGAAAATTGTGTCAGCAAAGAAGGTACGTCTTGCAGATGTAAACTGGTGTAAGGACTTTGTCATCACAGTCAGACCTTTACTATAAGCGGACACCGTCACCTTTGGGGGTGATTTGACCAGGTTTGACCAGCCTAAAAGAGAAAAAAACATTTTTCAGCAATATAAGCCATCGATAATGACCGTCACGGCTCCTTCAAAGAACTTTTTTACGACCCATCAAAAGCTACTTGTATTTTTTCCTGTCTACAGAAAGAATCGGTAATCGTCAGGCTAAGTTCAAGTATTAGGATCTATTAATGATTCTCTCATTTCTTTTAGCATCCTGATGCGGATTCTTTGTATGTGGAAGAAATTGATGTCGGGGAAGAAAGTATGTAATCCTTTCGAAACAGTGAATGTTTTAAGTCTTCAGTGGATTCGTACCACAATGTTTTGTCAGTCTGTAAAAGATCTAAACTAGGGACTTAACGATCCGATGACGCGATGGCAGCTTAAACGTCGCGTAAAAAGTGAATTTACGTTTATTAGTCTTTATCGCGATTATTCATGCCTATTTTCTTTATCAAAAGTAGGCGAATCCTTCTGGAGGGTGGACACACGTTACCTCTTCACCTTGATACTCACGGTGACATACGTTACGTGTCAGTTTAATTGCACTGCCTAAAAAAGAAATGTGGTTACCCGTGCTTCTGAACCCTTCTAGGATCCCTATCAAAGTTCAGAAAGAGAAATAGAATTTCGTTGTCCTTATTTATGTCCTCCATAAAATGTAAAATTGGTCAATTTCACGTCGTAGTCGTGCAAAAAACACCCAAGAAATGTATGAAAAAAGTGTGGTGCACGTGCAAAGTTGTTGTTTTGCCTTCTAAGCCTGTTGCGTTTTTTTCTGGTTTCTTTTGTTTTTTTTCGTTTTTTGACGTTCTCGTTGCCATGGCGTCAAAGGATCGTAAAGTCCCTATTAGTAAAGTCCCTATTAGTAAAGTCCCTATCAGTAAAGTCCCTACTTGGTCTTCTTTTTCAGAGCCAAGAACAGTAGTAAGCGGATTAGCGGAATATGTGCCTTTGGAAGAGCTTCAAGACAGATTGGTGGTCATGATGTGCAATTTAAAACCCGTAAATATGAGAGGTGTGTTTAATCTTTGTCAGCTGAAAATAGTTCGCTGCTCTCTTCAGTAAACCTTTAGCCCTATTCACTCTGCAAAATGCACAACATCTGCTTTACAATATAAATTTAAATTTGTAGAATACTGAAAAGGACGTCGCTAGAAATTTTTCCAACGTACGCACAGTTTTCCAAAGTAACCCTACCCCGTCTCCAAATCTCACGCGGGCGTGTGACTTGGCGATCAACATCAATTTTCTCCTGCTGAATAGGCCATTTGCATGATGGCTTCATTTTACTACTATGACCAGGATCCTTCAGGGTTTTGCCTTCTTGTGCGGGGCTACCAATTTTAAATATGAAAAGAAAAACGAAAATAATTCTGGTCGTAGTAGTAAAATGCCGCCATTGTGCAAATGGCCTATTTCAGTAGATAGTCAATAGATCGGCCAATGAGAATTAAAAAGTTGATCACCTAAGGAAAATGCTCTGATTTACAAAGAAATTCTCCCACCAAGTTCTTTAAGGAAATGTATGGAGACCAGTCTGGAGAATTTGTATTTGGATAGTAGGGCTTGAAGGCTTAAACCGTGTTCTTAAGATAGTATTTACAGCTCTCACGTGTGGCTAGGCTTGAGAAAAGTACCCTATTTTGTTTTGGAAAATTATCTGAAGGAAGTTAAAGTGGAGTTACATAGGCAACTGCACCGTTTTTAGCTTTCCGTTGTTTTATACGACGTTCTGTTCTTTGCTTTATTTTTCAAGTTTTTTGATCGTTTTAATGGCAAAACTTGACAAGATGTTACTTTTTCAGTGCACAGGGAAACATTTGCTAAGGTTTTCTATGCTACAAAGGAAAAGTTGTCGGGAGTACTTGCTTGGTTAAATGAGCCTTACAAAACACTGGGGGTGAAATGTTAACATGTCTAGTTATCTGCTCCAATAACGATTTTTCAGTTTTCCGCGAATCTAATGCTGTTACTTGAAATTCAATTAAACTCCTATATCTTGTGTCTCACTGCCACCTAAATTTGTGTTTTTCTCTTTTTAGGTATAAAGTCAGAAGCGATGCTTATGGCAGCATCCATAACTGGGTAGGTTTTTCAAACGGGCCTGCCCTGTGTGTATCTTTAGAAACGAGGACAGACTGGAGCCAAACGCGGCGGTCAGCTATTAGCCAATAGGCTTTTTCCTGTCCCTTGTGACAGTTCCAGAAGTCTTTGCGAAAGTTAACTCGGCCCAGTTTCCTTCTCGTTTCTTAAGTGACTAATTCGCTCTGATAGAGAGGTGAAGTGTGATGTCACGTTACCATGGAACCAAACTTTCTGGATCTCAACAATCTTTCTTAAAGAGGCGATTATTTTCATTGTCGAACGATGGAAGGAAAGTATGGGCTACCGTTTTGTTCCTGGGTGCAATCATGCATAGGAAAGTCGTACATGTCAATTTTTTTCGTCTTTTCTTACCATTTTTCAGGACAACGGTTTGTTGAGATTCAGAAATTTTGTTACCATGGCAACGTGACGTCACGGCTTCTCCACTCTATAGCCCCTACCCTCTTCAAATCCCTATCATCTCCCTTTAAACAGTCCAAATGATTGAGCCTCCTACCAATCTAATTAGCCCGCGCTTCTCCCCAATTATAGCGAGAGACATTTTTATTTTCCGCGCCCCAGAGTCTTTCTCGCCCGCGAACCCAGACATATTTCCGGTTATCGCGTCTAAACTTCGGGCGAAGAGAAGCAACAACCGGAAATACGTCTGCGTTCGCTGGCTAGACTCGTTTGCGAGCTGTTCTTTTCTTAGGGAAATGTAATAAAGTGGCAGGCGCGAATTATGTCAGGAAAATAAACAGGCCAGCTCTTTAACCACGTCAACTGATGAAAATGTGTATCTTTCTAGCTCTGATGGGAAGCGGACAGTTATTCCTCTAAAGCCGCCGGTAGACTGTAAACCAGGTGACCGAGTTGTTATACAAGGATACGAACATGAAACAGCCGGAGGTACAGACTTAGTCACTCAGTGGCGTCTGTTCTGTTGTTCATATTTTTACTGTAGTTATTACCTTCCTTGTCGTAACGTTGTTGTTTCTGTATAGGGAGCTCAAGCAATAGATAAGATAAACAAAACAACAACTCTGCACGTGCATCACGCTTTTTTGTACATTTCTTAGTCGTCACTGCGCGCGACTACAACGGGAAAGTGCCTAATTTCAGGTTTTGTGGGGGACGTGAACAAAAGGCAACGACTTCCTTTTTCTTTTCCTGTACTGAGATACGGTCTTTTAGATAGAATTCAACTCCAGAAAAAAATTGCTAACATTTGACAAATCGAAAGAAATAGAATAAGTAAGTTTGAAGTAGCACTAATTAGTCACATTTAGGCCCCGGCCACACGTATCCCGATATTTTTTGAAAAAGGAGATTTTTTTTTTCTCCGTTTAAAAAAAGATACGCATCCAACGATGTAAATACGATAGAATCACTTACGGAGCATGCGTCATGCTAGAAGTATATGACATCATCGTATTCGAAAACCTCCGTTTTCGTCCGTCCACTCGTAAATGAAAAGCCGGTGTTTTCAAAAATCTCCACTCTGGTGAGCGTTTTTTGAAAAGATCCATTTTCGGTGACTGTTTTCACCGGATGCGTGTGGACGGTAGGCAAAACCGGAGGAAAAAGTATCCGCTTTCAAACAAAAACAGATACGTGTGGACTCTGCCTTAAACTGACGTTTTCGTAACCATCGCCGTCGTTGAACAGCTGAAGGGCCTATCATCGTATCTTTTGAGGCCGTTGCAGGGAGTAGTCTTCAAGCTATATCTTAACATAACAACACGTTTCATGTGTCGTAAAGCCGGCGTTAACAAATAAAATCATAAAAGTTTATTAACTAGTAATAACCAAAGGTTAGGGAGTGCGGGCGACAACGATCGAAGGTCAAAACGCATTTGCTCCAACGCTGTGCTTTGCGTAAGTTTCACGAGACAGATGGTGAAAACACGCATGATTAGGTTATGAGGGGTACATGGTCGAAATGCGCTAATCAAATTGCGTTTTGTGCATTCCATTCTTTCTTAGTGGAAGTCCAAACGAATACTGGCCACATACGTGCGACGCATGCGTAATAACAACCTGGAGATTAGGATTGCGGGCTCCTCCTGTCGCCCGCAATTATTAAAAGACAATATTACTGCTCATGAAAATATTCTAGCAATGCAACGTATCAGCCAGAGACACTCATTAACCCCACAGTGCGCCTTAATGACGTGTTTGTTTAGGTTAACTTTTTATTTTTTCCCTATTAACAGATCCAGATGAACAGCTGAATCCCAAGAAAAAGATTTTTGAAACTCTCAAGGTAAATTCAGATTTTCGTCAGTAGGATAATGCTTCTTTAGTCTTTTTTCTGTGAGATAAGTGTCAGTTACCTCTCACTTGCATTTAATAATCTTCTGAATTTTTAGGGGCAATAGGGAGTTTGAGATACGCAGACGGCGGTGGCAACGAGAGCGACCTTGTTTATACACATGCAGATTAGTGTGACACGAACATCGGTTGCTTTTCACTGTTTCTATTGAATGGTTTTAATCTTTCTCTCTTTGTGCTTTTCAGCCTGACTTGGTAACTTCCGACGAGGGTATAGCAGAGTACAAAGGGTGTGCGATGGTGACAGCCGCTGGCCAGATTACTGCTTCTCTGAGAAACGCGCAAATTAGTTGACGTCTTTAAACATCAGTTACAAATGACAATTACTCAGTACTTAGCAGATCCCTCGAACTGCAGTGAAAATTTGAATTGAAACTAAATGTATTTTTGTTCAACTTCCATATTCTGTCGGTAGTAAGCCTTAAAGCGAACCTCCACTTCAACAAAAAGATAACTTTAAATCACAGGAAATAACTGTTACAGTCAAGTCAATCTCAAATACTTTTAAAGAAAGCGTTTGTATCCGAAAGAAATAACTTTTAGATTCGCCTATTTTTGTTTTCAAATTTTGCTGGCGTCGCCATCTTGAATAATTGTGACGTGTTACGGTTGCCCTATTGTTATTAAACAAAAGCTCTTTGTGTCAGAACAATAGAGCAACCATAACACGTCACAATTATTCAAGATGGCGGCGCCCGCGAAATTTGAAAGTGAAAATAAGCGATTTTAAAATTCACTTTTCCTGATATAAACACTTTTTTTAAGGACAAATTTCGAACAAATTTGTTTATCAACATAATTTTATTCGATTTAAACTTATTCTGTAGTAAGAGTGGAGGTTCCCTTTAACGAAACTGAACCATAGGACATTGCATTAGTTTGTGTCTCGTGATAATTAGCAATTTATTGCTCGATGAAGTTTTTGTGATATCGGAATAATCTTGGACGAGGTAAGTGTTATGAGCCGAGACCGAGAGTTTCAAAGAAGACAACGACACAGGCACTGTTACATGGAACACAGCATATTATTTTTAAAAAAAAAAAGAGAGAGAGAGAATATAATAGAAGTGTAGTGGTTAGAAAAGAAATACCACATTCTCTAAGATACTTGAAAAAGATTCCTATTCTAACTTTCGTGAATCATTATGTAATTTAAGAGTCTAATCTATAAGCTGTTTATCAATTTCTTGTGTAGTCGAGGTAGCAAACCGACGAGCCATGTTTTTGGCTGTGTGAAAATCCTGCCTCGCGCGCAAAGCTAACTGAATTATCTGTCGGTACCGCTGATTTCCAGAACTAACTATAAGCTCTTAGCCAATGAGAGGACGGATAGTAATAGATTGTACAATAAAGGACGGTTAACACGTCGAGCTAGAGGTGTGCATTATTGTTTACTGCGTGCTAAGGCAAGAGCAGTGTAGACTGAATAATTTTTATCACTGGAACAATAGCTTAAGCCTCCATAGGCGTCTTTATGAAACCAAAATCTAGTCGTCCCAAGATAAATTGAAGACAACGCTTGTGGTATTTTCTTTTGGGGGGGAGTGGGGTGGTGCGGGGGTAGTTAAACAGACCATATTATGGGAAACGTAGAATCATGGTGAATTAACTCCGAACTAAACTTACACAACAACTACTTAACAGTTTGGTATATCAGGTATCACTTTTATTTACCTTTAGGTCGTCAGGGGCGGGCATTACGTTCCTCTCATGTTCGCCCGCCTTCCTTTCGAACGCCTGAATAAATGACAAAATTAGTTTTTACTTAAATCGTCAAACTCAGACTAGAATTTAACAACTTAGTTTTCGCGCTAAAACCGCTTATTTTCATCTTCGCTCCATCTTGAAAACCAGTCGCGTTAAAAATTGATTCATCAACAGTTCCGTCGTTGTTGTTGTTGCCGTTTTTGTTCGTTTGACAAAAATTTCAGAACATGAACCAATAGCTTATGTGCAGGGGTGTAGTTAAAATTTTTCAAAGAGGGGGTGGATGGGAGCGGATGTAACCTTGTGACACACCCAGAGTACTCACTGTAGACACTGTAATATCCCGTCGACTTCCAAGCACTGTTTTTTTAGAAGTGACCGTTGCTTTTCGGATAAGCAGTGAGCGTGGGAGGAGGAAAGCCTACAAAGTAGCTTAGAAAGAATACACGAAGAAATTGTAAACAAAATGAGCCTTCAAAGGATATGGTTTCTGCGAAAGGGATACCTCACGAACGAAGGGTTAAGGGGCACCCAAGCCACGCCCCTCCAATTTTCTGCTAGCTATCATGTAAGACCTGGGTGTTGGAGATTTTAACTTGTGATGCTCTTATTGTCCTGCTCCAATATGCTAATCAGTGCTTCAACGCCAGACATAGTTTCAGCAAAAAAACTGAGGTCGGCTTTAAAAACTCCATCGACGTCCGCTGCAGCCAGTACGATTACTTTTCCAGGGCCTTTATTATTGATTTCTTCTGCTATCGCAAACAGTTCTGTTCTTGTGCTTCGCAGAATTTTGCTCTTCGACATTAAGGACTTGGGCAAGCCAAGCTTTGCCATATAAGGCGGTATGAACAACTACGGCAGTACCGATGGGAGCCGGCAGTTAAGATCTACCATGTAGCGTCTTCCTTCCTTCTCCAGAATCTCAATATTGACTATTCCAAAGTACCCAGAAGTATGGAGGAAGTTTTTGACCGGTAAAATGAATTCCTCGTAAACCGCTTTTTTCAACTCCTTCTGCTTGTTCCAATCACCCACTCCTGCAACCCATTTGAAATCCTTTGAAATTGTCCCGGTCAAGCTGCCTAACCAATGAATGTCTCCTGACTTAAACACGTAGAAATATTATCCCATAGTTACAGCGTCTGGTATGTATTCTTGCAAGATGTACTTTCCCGTCCAGAAGCACTTGTCCCTAATCTCTGCCACGACTTGTTTTAGCTCTTGGGAATTGTGAACTATATAGTTTCCGTGTCCAGCGCTCGATTGATCAACTTTGAGCATGCATGGGAAGGAAATGTTGCCCTCTTCAATGAGTTGAGGAGTTGGAACTCCAATTAGCGGGATTGTGCTTTTGCAAAGCAATTCTGCATGCAGTTCAGGATCAATGGCATGCTTCTTTGCTGGTAGACACTGCAACGGTCCGGTGCTCACAACTGGGATATCGTCCGCAAAACCTTCTTCGATGGATTTCACCTCTGCGGCTGCGAAAACCGACAGCCACTTGTTCCAGTGATCTAATTGGAGACTGTCAGGCTTTATGTCTACCAAACTTACGACTGCATTACCTATTGTTGCAAGATGTCTTATAGGTGGTAACGTGTCTACGGTTTTCATGTCTCTTCGACGGTCAAAAACCAAGTATTTCTTGTCGTTATGGAACTTGGCGTCTTTGTGATAGGAAGAAATAGTATATGGCAAAAAGTAGGCTTCATTCAAGTCTTTTGCAATGAGTTGACTGTAACAGTTTATCTTGGCCATGCTGATACCTCTAGTACACGTTTTCCACTGATATTTGCTGAGAAGAAAAGATTGAAGGGAGATGAAATTATAAATAGGGTTAAATATTCAAATCGCGACTGTTGATTGCGCTGTTTGACCTATCACAATCGACCATAAGGGCACACTTCAAAGCACAAGTCAAACGTTACGCGCTTGATATCGCCTCGAAGTAAGTTATTTTGGAGCATCTCACGAAATTTCGAGTCAATGAAAACAAAACTGACAATCTAAACACACATCAAATAGATATGTAATATCAGAAGAATGTCAATAACAAATTTAAAAAAACAGTTTACACAATCCAGCTAATCGAGGTGAGTGAGGTGGGAGGTGAAGTAGAAGATTTTATACATGTACAATGATTTCAATATGTTTTGAATTTATAACGACAACTAGCTATTATAATGGAAATTTTAACCCCGCACCTCTTAATTATAGTGTAAGGAAAAGGAGCTTATACTATAAATTATGCATTTGTCACGAGAGGAAAAGGTAAAACACGGCTATGAAAGGTAAACTATAGTATTTTTAGGTACTTTGGATTTTGCTGTTCAACCAATCACACTAGGACATAGAACTAATAAATCACGAACACAAGGTAATTTCCATATGCAACATCTGTTTTGCACTGTTTCATATTCATTCGTGTGAGTGTAGTGCAGGTTTCAGAGGCACCTAACGTCAATTTTCGGAAGACGGTTTTCGGTTCCGAAGACGATTTGAGATTTAGAATTTTCGGCGCAGTTGTTGTAAAATTTCTTGCTTGCCTGCCTCTCCTAGGATTTCCGAACACCTAAAAATTGGTATAATTGCCCATTTTTAACGGATTTTTACCCTAAAAGGGTCACCAAGAATTTTCGGGAACCTTTTTCTTGGTAAGGTAAGTTTTGATCCCTCTAATTTTCGGATCACTAGACTTTCAGCTCGGGATAAAAATATACCTCTATCTACCGTTTAAATACTAAAATACGTTTAACAGTGCTATGTTTAAGTGGTTCTGAACTATATTCTCGTTGGGTGCCCCTCGCTCCATGTGAGGGAATCCAAGACAGTCTTGGATTCTGGATTCCTAGTCGTGGATTTTGGATTTCGGGTTCTGGATTCCGGATTCTATAAGATGCGCGCAATCCAATCATTAGTGGGATTCCGGATTCCTTGTGCTGTATTCCGGAATCTTAAGCTCAAGATTCCGGATTCCAGAGGCAAGAATTCCTGGATTTCGGATGTACGGTGCAGATTTTTTTTAAACTTGTCACAATTGTCAGCCTTTGTAGAACAGCGAGAAAATTCCAAAGCGTCTCTTCCCCATCGGTCCGCGTGGACAGGCAACCCTCAAAAACTCGCTGAGGTGACGATCCCATCACCAGCTGCGCAGACTGCTAAGTGTTTTGTTTTTAAGTTGCGCGCGAAATATTCGAAACTTGAACAACCGTCAAAAATTCTTATCGCATAGCAAAAACTTTGAATATTACCAAAGCCTAGAGCCCGTTTGTTTGTCTGGGCTATAGTTTTTCACTCAGGTGTCTTCAAATTGCCCATCTTGCAAATAATGGAATAAAATGGACCCTTTTAACATTATCTTCTTCTCCATTGCAACCTCGTCCCCAGGGCTTTTCCCTTAAAAAAATTGGTGGTTTTTAAGGGAAAAGCCCTGGGGACAAGGTTGTCTCCACTGTAGCTCCAAATGCATTCATAGCATTCAATTCTCAATTATACAACTTCAACTATCCAGAGATGTTTTCTCCCAAAATATTATTTTCGTTTTTCCATTATGAGTAAAAACATTAATAAAAAAGGGGCATCACCGATCTTGTTTCACCGCAAAAATACAATAAAGGGACAATTTTGGCTTCAAATAATCACTCTCTGCGAGGGGAATGGGGCTAGTATCAAGACCAAAGAAGGCCGTGAGTTGCATATTCATGGCCTCAAAAGGCCGGGCATTGCACCAGATAGATCGGGCGCGTCTTATTTTCACTTGGCTTATTTTATTTCCGCGACTTCCCTACTGTCTGAGAGCCTGGGACAGGGTCCCTTTGTTAGCTCCTGTCGCCACCTTTGATATAGCAATAGAGATATTGAGCATCGCGTTTAAAGTGGTGTTACACGAGACGATTCGCAACTACACAGTGTTGCAACATTGTTCCAAAATTACAACACTGTGTTGCGCTAAAAATCGTCGTTGCGAATCGTCCCGTTTAACGTCACCTTGACGGCAAACGGCAAACGTGAATTTGTACCACGTGACCAAGTTTTCAACTTTGTTATCGTTTACTGTTCATTATAACTATACGAAAATCTGTAGATTCATGCTAATTCTGTCCATAAAAATTGTTTTAAGCAGTTTAATTTTTATCTGCTCATTTCTCATTTTGAAAATTTCTCAACTTGAATCTCACGATTGCTGTTTGCCGTAAACGGGATGCTTAATCTCTCCAATGTTATGCGCAGTAAATGCAGGAGGTAAAGCGCAGTGCAAGAGAGTGGCGGATCCGGATGAGGGGGAGAGGGAGGCAGTCATCCAGACACTAAGGAGAGAAGGGGGGTGGTCTTAAAAATTTTTTCGGCCTTCGAGTCTCAGTTTGATCCAAAAATAGGGGGGGGCGGGCTCCCCGGGCCCCTCCCCTGGACCCGCCACCGCAAAACAAGGTGATCACCTAAAAAAGCCAGTTTTGAGAAAAGTAACCGTGTGTTTTTGCAGTCTAGTTGTCTAGCTACATGAAACAATAACGTCAATAAACCCCTTTTGAGTGAAAAACCTGCGTATTAAGCAGTGCACAGGACATTCGGAACGATGGTGTCCTTGTGTTGGATAATTTAGTTCTCCCCTGACGGAAAGGAAGTGGGGCGTCAGTTTGTATAAATTTACGCACATCTCTGGCCATAATTTTCCGAAATTTTCATTTTTACCTCCGGAGCGGTATGGCGGTTTCAGTTTTTCCCTTTTTTCGAATATATTACGGTTTCCTCTTTCCAATTAAAATAAAAAATTGTAGACAAATGCACTTTGATGTTCTTCTCTCTCTTGTCGATGGATAAACCATACTTAGGAAAAAATTCCTTTCCTAACAGTAGAGAAATCCGCCCAAAAAGAGATACCGAAAAAATTTATCATGTGTTTACAATGTTGAGAAGACACCCTCCAAGGATACAATAAGGACGGAACACTGGTCACCACAGGCAAAAATGCCAAGCCCAGCCCTTTAACTTAAGGATGACTGCGCAAGTATGGCTCGCTAAAGGCGTTTTAAGCTTCGCAGATTTCCGTTTAGCAGTGATAAACAAATGAACAGAGGGTGTTTTTTATCCGGCTGCGACCGCAACGCTCAGGTGATTTTCGTTTTTGTCACGCAATCAAACATTTAAAGTTCCCTTTTGCAATCGACAAGCGCAAAAATAACAAATATTCGCGAAATGATCCAATGCAAATAAAAAACTTTATTTAAAAAGCCAGACAAAAATGTTAAAAGCTGCATAATTTGGTTTGACAGACAAATCATGTTAAGTTATCTCCCGCTGTTTGCCATAATCATAAAATTCCAATTAATCCGCAACAAATTTGAAATTTTATGCAAATTCATCACAAAATTAAAGTCCTTAAAGAGAGTAGTCTGCTTTTTACATCTACATAGAAAAGAAAAACTCTAAGAAGGTTAGAATTACTCTTAGCACAGTTTGTGTTGATAAATGGCCATGAGTCTCACTTACACGTAACTAACCCGCGCGAGGTCACGCGAGGCACACTAAAAGCGATTTAGTCTTCTTCGGGCTCCGACTCGTGATGTTCTTCCTGCTGGACGTCCTCATCGGCGGCGTGTGGCACAGGGTCGGGCTCTGACTTGGGTTCCTCACTTTCAAAGTGTTCTTGGTACCGATCTGTGACCTTCTTTTGCTCGACTGCCTCTACGTCGTCCATGGATCTTTCGACCTCGTCCTCCATGTCTTTTAGTTCTTGCTTGATCAGTCTAATTCTCTCCGCGTACGAGTCGTGTTCCTGCGTCAAGTCGTCGAGGAGGCTTTCTTGTGGCTGCACTTTACGTTCGGCCTCTTCAGCCCGAGCCACCGCCTCTTTCAGTTGCTCTTGTAAGAACTCTAACTTTTCATACAATTCTTGTTCGCGTTCTGCCAATTCCGAATCTTCCTCTTCAAGGTGACGCAGTTCGTTTCCTTTTTCTTGAATTTGTTCCTCCAGCTCGGTGCATTTTTCTTCTAAACTACAGCATCTTTCATTTGCCTTCTCCTTTTCGCATACAGTAACTTTCAACTTCTGCTTGGTCTCTTGCAGTCGTTCATCCGACTCCTTGGCGCATCGCGAGGCCTCACCGACGTCGTCCTCCAGCCCAGTTAAGCGTTCGTCACTCTCGCGGTCAATTCCCTCGAGCTCCTTGCAAACGCTTTCGTGTTCGGCTGAAATACCGTGTACTTCAGACAATCTGGTCTTCTTCTCTGATAAAGCTTCCTTAGTCTTGCTCAGCTCATCTCTCATAAGCCTTATTCTTCGCCGGAATGATTCTACGTCTCCTTCATTTTTGTCCAGGTTTTCTTCCACTTCCCGGAGCTGCTCCTTCGCATCTTTCTCTCGATCTTCAGCCTTCTCGATCTTATCCTTGATTCCTTGCAGCTTTCCCTTGACTTTGGCTAATCCGTCCATGTTCAGCAGCCTTTTTGGCGAGAGTACGTGGAGCTAGACAAACCTCGCGCAAGTATAAAGCTCACAACAGCCCACACCTGTGAAACGCAGCGAGAACCCAACTAAATGCACTAGAAGGAACGCAATGTTGTGTTTGTTAATGCAAATTATTGAAACGATCATAAGGTGGGGGCCATTTAGAGAGCAGAGATTGGCTCTTTTAGAGTTGCTTATCTGTCGAAGTCTCTGTTTACCGCTATGTTTTGCCTGTTGGCTCCCTAGCAAAAAATATTCTTTATGCCAGATCAGTTTTTCGGGCCAGCCTTAACTGATCAAAGATGCAGTTGAAAGGCGGTATTGGTTCAGCGATATAACCCGCCTTTAAAGGTTTTTAGTTCGCAGATGTTGCAGTGGTTTGTAATGAAAGGAACTTTACACGTTCAAAGCATCTATTGTTACTACCAGAATGCCCCGTTTAATCGCGTGACTCTGATGAATGCAGGGCTGTTTGACCTCGAAATGACGTATGATATAGTATTTATTAGAGTATTTAATGGCAAACATATTTTTTGTTTTGATTACTTTTCGAGCCTCGTTTTAATTACGTCAAAATTTCTGTAGAGAGAACACAGATCAACACAATTTGAGAACATTGCATGAGATCCTGGTCGCCGTAAATCCTACTGCTGCAAAGGGATTTTTGAACGGTTCTTGTCTTTGTACTGAATTTGTGGGTTTCTTGGCAATTCCTGAACAAGGGGAGAAAAAACGTCGATAAAATTAAGCACCCAGCTGTGGTTCTAGTGCCTGATGCTTGTTTTAATTAATTAATATATTTCAATATAATTGGCATTAACTGTGGCTGTGAGCATGGGTTAGGGGGTAACAACATGAGACCGGGATTAACTCAGACCAGTATGAGTTCGTATCGATCTCCATACATTTCTTTTCATGCGTTTACGTGGGACCGGCCTAAAAATGAACTCAGACCGGTCTGACTAACCCGACACGAGTTACTTTCGTATCCGACTGAGACTGTACCGTTCTCATGTAAAACGGAAACAAATCTCAGACCGGGTCCATAAATAGCATGTTTCTTCGTTTAGCTACATCATTTTTGCTTTTTCCTAGAAAACTAGGAACACTGCTGTGAATAACTGTAAACAGGACTTGGACGTAGTTTCAACTGAATTTATGCTTCGATTAAGTGACGGATTGCACCATTTTGAGATGCTGCAGCTGTGCATTTATTTATGAACAGGCCATCAGATGAGCGTTAGATAAAGCTTAACAATTTTCTGGGAACAGTAAACTCTACGGTTCTCTACTCACTGTCTTTACTGGCGTAAATTTTGCACTAGTTAGGACAGTTAGTAAATAAAATGTTACTAAAAAAAAATTGACTTGTGAAAAATATATATTAGCTCCAATAATCTCCTGTTTTTGAGTTTGTACGGGTCTCACGTAATCGACCACTGCAAGTCGAACCAAACGTTTCGTCCCTGGCTCATGTAAACGACTGCAAAACTTACAAATTCGTACCTACTGAGTTCGTTCCGGTCATGTAATTACCCCTTTTCAGCGCGGCAGATCAGAGGTTCAGTAGTGTTGAATTAGTATGTGTATGAAGCAAGAAACAAATATGGCAAATATTGTCTGGGCTGAAGATTTCTATGTGACAGTTTTAATTTATTCACTTCTCTTCGATTTTCAAAAGTTTCATTTATGGTTTTCACGTTTCACTCTTAAAGGACTCTGAATAAAATTTTGATTTCGAACTGAACAACAACAGAAATTTTCCCCTTTACGTAAACCTTTACTGAATAGCATAGATTTTATGAAAGATAATAATAATACTAAACACTTCGACTTCATAAATAATTACGAAATAAATTAGAACCCCGTGGGTACTCCGGAATGTTTCATGTGCACTGTCGGAAGAATAAATCATAAAACCAGAAGGTTTTCTCGACTTTATCACAGCCATAAACTGCATCTGTTAGCCCTTTTGGTCCTTTTGGGCCTATTGAGCGAAAAGACGGATTTCCCTGCCCTTTCAGATACTTCGTTTAGTGAAATTCCTACCCTTTCATATACCTGAAGCCTAAAAAAGGTATTTCTTTCAGGAGAAGCCTCGTATAGGCCATTGTGAGGAGTACCCCGGGGCTTACAAAGCCCTGCCTAGGATGCCCGAGGGATGCTTCGAGGAAGTTAAGGTAGGAGGACTCAATGGGGTTAACCGTTTTCGTCAAACGGGCCTAAAAGTTAACCGTCTACCGTCAAAAATACAGAGTGATATTAACCGTCAAAACTTTTCAAGATATTTCAAATCTCCCTATTCCTACAAAAGTTAATCTTTACTCAGTTACTTCTTGGACCAAAATTTCACTAAATAACCGTCAACAGTCAATGGCAAAAAAATAGCCGTCAACCTTGAGACCCTCAGTTAAGAGGTGAGCCGCCGATGTCTTCAGACAGGAACCCTGTTTAAGACAAAAATCGTTCATTTCGCTACCCTGTTTAACTAAGACAAGAAACTTATTTTATATCCCTGGTGCGTTTCGTTTTGCATACAGAATTAAGTAATGTTTCAAGTTAACATCAAGGAACCCTTGGGAATGTACTGAAAACACTCTCGCGCTAATTGCTAACCTTAACACTCTTTTATAGGCCACACCCTGTTTAAGACTCTGAAAACTATTGACGATTGTATAAAATGTTTCAATTTTTTTATTAGTATCCGGCCCCGCTGTAATTGGCCACAGCTGTTGCGGTGTCCCTGCCAACGTTCTTTCTGTTTGTTCTTTCGTTTTTTTTTGTTTTTTTTTTGGGCGAAGCTAATAAAATAAAATAAAATATTAAGGCTCAAGACCCCGACCTTATTTGCCTATCTGCGGCACATGCAACCAGTTTAGGTCACTTGCCCTCACCCCCTTGCGTTAGAGGTAAATAAATTCTTACGCGCGCTTGGCAAATGATAATCTCTAATGAGAAAATAGAAGGTCTGTGAACAGGCTAATAAAAATCTGTTAGCGTCACTTAGAAAATAATGTATTTGTATAGCTCTAACAAGATAACCCAGCTAAAGCTTTAATGTTTTAAAAGGGGTTTGGGAGCAAGCAAGCACTGGCAAGTACAAGCCGTCGTGGATGCCTATGAGACAGATGGCACTGAACAGGTTGTACGATAGGCTGGATTAGAGATATTTTGCGAAACGGAAGTAATATTGGCTACTGTAATAGGGGAGCTCAAGCAACCTTGACGGCGCGGCGGCAGCAAAAAATGTCAGTTCACGTTATTTCAAACATCTCTTTCGATTTATCAAATGTAAACGAATTTTTAGGGATTGAAATCCTCTCTTTTTCAGTACTATGTCACGGTAAAAAATAGACATTTGTTCTCCGACTGGTTGCGTAAGTACACGTTAATTAACAGGTACAAAACGCAAAAGTCGCAAAAGAAAAGGGGGCGTATGCGTGTTTCACATTGTCATTGGTTCTAACACAGCAATGACGTCGGTCATTGACGAGCGAATGGCGGGATCTTCAGCCACGCACTGTTCCACTAACTCTCTCAGATTTTTGTTCCACATCAGTGCGATTTGTCGCTGTCTCTCGTCAGGGTTCGGTGTTTGGTTGGTACAGAGCTCGCAGAGTAACACGCCATAACTGTAGACATCAATCTGTTTGAGAGAAAATGAATAAGAACTTGAGGGTTTGTAAAGGCTTCTTATTAAGTTTATAGGCCTTTTTCAAAAATTCCATGATACTCTTTTTTGTCCCTCCAAAATTTTGCATAAGCATTGTTTTCAATTTCTCTTGGGACTTACAATTGCCCTAAGAGAAATCAAAAACAAAGCTTATGCAAAATTTTGGAGGGACAAAAAAGAGCATTATGGTATTTTTCAAAAAAACCTATGTCGATTGTAGGCCGAGAGAGAACTCTGGGAAGGAGGTGGTCGCTCTCCTCCGCTTATCTCGCTCCCTTTAGTTAACGGTGGTTGATGTTTTTAACGTCGATGGCACCATTGGAATTAAGCCTTTAGTCATCGATACGTTACAATAAGGCAAATAATATAATTTGGAATAGTCTTGGAAAGAACCACGTTGAAGCCCAAGTTGCATTTACGTTAAACCTTGGGGGAAAGGGTTTGGGTTACCTGTTATTGATGTATCAGTTAAGAGCGACTGGTTGCTATTTTATGCAACTAAACTTTTTGCAACTTTGTAGGGTCGATGTGGTTGTGTACTGGTAAGGGAGAGAGAAGGATACGAAAGACAGAATCTAACTTTTAATAACAGATCAAAACATTTCTGAGTGTCTTAAAAATGGCAGCAACCTGTTTATGAAAGGGAAATTTGCCCCGCCCCTCCTCCCCCCCGACTTGAATAAGTAACACCAAGAACTATCGATGATATTACTTTTCTTAGTATAAATGAAATTGTCATGGCGCTTGATTAAAGTGGCTACCCTTTGTACACAAACTAACAACCAACGAGATGAACATTTTTTGTCCATATGTAAATTATATTTTTCCGAAAAGAAACTGTTTTCCTAGTCCCTTGGGCTTTTTGTTGCCTTCGGGTCACGTGGTCCGAGAGGGTTTGTGACCGAAAGGGCCTGGGTAGGCGCCGTACACGGCCTAGGCAAGAATTCATGCATTAACACCCCTGCTACATTTTTTTTCTGAATTGTTTAAATGTGGGAATCACTGCTATTCAGCCTGTACTTGGGCTCACATTATTAGTTCCAGACTTGTTCCTTCTACCCTAACACAGAGAGTGCGAAAGAGCAGCTGAAAGTGGTGTTGAGCGCGACGAAAAGATTGTATAGTTCCATGATTTCACTTTATTTTTATTTTACTTTCTGGTCTAGCTGCTCTACTTTCACCCCCTCTGCCACCACCATGTCTGAACGCCTTGAACAGGTTATTTTACTCGCCGAAAATTCTTGAACAAATGGTAAGCAGTAGACTGCGAATAGTCTCTTATCGTCGTGGTTTGTAGTCGCGCTGCTGTGATAAGAACGAGACGGATTTTAAGAGAAAAGGCTGACTGCAAGCAGTCAAAGTAAGCAGTCATAAAGATTCCTTAGTTTGGTTATTCTTGGTAAAGGACTCACTCAAAGTCACTTTCTTTCAAGTAACATCTCAATTATTCCAACTCGAACAATTTGTAAAATGCAGGGGAGGTTTTTTCAAGACGGAATTCAGGCTCAAACAGTTAGAAAACAATGTTGTTGTGAGTTCAAGTCCTTTACAAAACCTCGAGTTTGGAAATTTTAAGTCGCAGCTGGCAGCGACGGAAAGAAATGCACCAAAAAGTGGGGTGCACGTGCAGAGTTGTTGTTTCGAATATCAAACCGTTGACAATTTCACTGTCGTAACATCTTAGATTCCCAATATTGTCTTTCATGCGGTACTAACATGTATCATGCAAAGATCTTTCGGGTAGTCCTTCTAACTACTGGCGGCAAACTGACGGTTTTTCACTTCTAATAAACACGGCGGCTTTTTGTATGGCGAGGGAGGGGGGAGAGATGGGGTAGAAGAGTACAAAATCTTACCTTTGGAGTCTGGCGTGAACTGCTTGCCTCCGGAGCAGAATAAAACGGATTCCCTGGATTTTCCGACATCTTGCTTGCCATGAATTCCGCTGATCCAAAATCACAGAGTTTGCCACGCCACTTGTCTCCCTGGCGCCAAACCATTACGTTACCGCTATTAACATCGCGGTGGAGTATGGGATTGGGTTGGAAGCAGTGAAGGTAATTGATGCCGTGAGCCACGTCTAGCGCGAGTATTCTGATGTATCTGTTGCCTAAACTCCTCTCATCTTTCACAAGCTGCGAAAGTGACATATCCATCAGTTCAGCAACCAAGAGTGGTGTAGAAGAGTGATAATCAGCTACAGCCAGGAATTGTAAAATACAAGGATGTCGCACCGATGTGGCAAAAGTAATCTCGCGGTCAAACAGCAGTCTGTTATGGGCCGACTGGATTATTTCGTGGATTTCCTTTACGGCTACTTTGGTTCCTCGAAAATTCCCCTCCAAAACTCTTCCCCAAGCGCCAGTACCGAGCACTTTATCAGAAAGCTTAATCTCATCCTTGCTGATCATCCAAGGTTGATCTCCGCGAAATATACTTTTATGTTGACGAGCTCTTTCGACTTCTTGCTCTAGCACGCGAACACGCCTTTGATGAGTTTCTAACGTAGCCTCTGCTCGCCGTAAACGTTCCTCGTAGACGCGCTTCTCCTCACGTAACGCGTCGTACTCGTTTCTTTGAGCCCGGCGCTCGTCTACTAACTGTTTTTCAAGTCGGTCTAACCGGTCAGATGTCCCTTTTCGCGAAGCTTCCAGAGCCTCTATAGTTCTGCCCTTCTCCAGGAGAAGGTTTTCTTTTCGTCTTAGCGTATCTCGAAATTCAGCATTTTCATTTTGTGCAAGTTGCAAATCTTGTTGCTTTTCTGTCAATCGAATTTCAAGCTGACCAAGATATGCCAGTCCTCTCTCCTTCTCACGATTTAACCTGTCGACTGAAAGTTTCCTCTCCAGACTAATCTTGTCGCAGTTGATTTTTTCTTGTTGCATGGTGTCTTTCTCCTGCTTGAGTGAATCGATCTCCATCGCTCTGTCTCTGAGCCTTCTGGTTTTTTCTTGTAGTTGCTGCCTCAATTGGTCATTTTCACGTCTTAGTGACTCTAGTTCGACTCTTTTGCCTAGATCTTTGCTAGCCACGCTTTCATAGTCAGACCTACTCTTATCTCTCTCGCTATTTAAGCCTTCTATTGCGCTTTGCATTTCTTTTACGATCATTTCTTGTTCGGCAAGCTGTTTTTGAAGTAGTTGAGAGTGTTCATTTGCTTCTCTCAATAAACGATCCTTTTCCCTGAGCTCAGATTCTTTCTCCTCGTTCTGTGCAGATAATACTTGTACTTTATCGTGAAATGACTGAATAGCATGTTCTTTTCCTTCGATCACTTGTTCTTTTTCCTCAATTCTTTCCAAATTTCTTTCCCGCTCTCTCGTCAGTTGATCAACAATTTGCTTTCCCTTAGAGATTATTTCATTTAAACCATGCCTTTCTATCAACAAATGTTTTATCTTAACTTGCATAGCTTTTTTCTTTCGAGGAATCTGTTTTTCCAAAACCTCTGCTGAAAGTTCTTCAGGATGTTTAGCGCTTTCATCCTTGTTTTTAGACCCCCGCTGCTTCTCTTTTTTTCTTCCATTTTGCATACTAGGCTTGTCACCTGACTCATGAATATTCGGGAGCTCTTCACTATCCCCAGTCACAAATTGAAACGTTCTTTCTATGTCCAGAGAATCCTCAGAGTGAAATTCTTCCCGCCTTTCTCCAATTCTTTCGAGTTCTTTGACGCTCTAAAAGGACCAAACAAATAACATAAAATGTTTCATGTGCGTTAAGATACAAGGGCGACTTCCTCATCTTACATGAAGTATTAAACGCTAATTACAAGTATTGGTGAAAAACAAAACAAACTTCATTGACTAGCTAGTGACAAACAAGTAAATTATCTCTGAGATAGATCTTCTTCTTGTTGAATTGATTTTCCTACGTCCCGTCCCTACGTTTCCTTATTCAGAAACGTTTTTAATAAACTAAAAGGGCAAGTTATCGGGGGATTTATAATATATGATGGTATATTGAGATGACTTACAATGGAAACTTGCATTCAAATAACAACGGTTGGACAAATATTAATGCGCACAGCCTCATACATTACTTATCGTGACTGGTACTGATGCAGGATCCAAGTAACTCCATTTTAGTTCTTGGCAGAAAATCTACCTATAATAAACGAATGCTACTGCTGAAATTTAAATAACAAATTGATTGCTACGGAAGGGATTTGCATTGAAACCACGATTAAGTACGTCCGCCAATACATCAGTTATCATGCCATTATTTTATATAATTCTGTTAATATTTTATACGTCATACATGTACGTACTAACAAGAAGATAATTGAATAATTCTGTCATTTGGTGTGCTTCAATTAAGGTAGTATGCAAAGTGTTTATTCGATAGTCAATCAGCATTTTGTGACACAACACATGCACTCGACTGGCTGGATATACCTTTACAAGAACTCGCATGCACATTTTATATTAATGTAATTATACCATCGTTTAATTTAAATATAAACTTCAATGGAATCAGTTTCCAGTTGTCTCTGAGTAATCCCAATTAGAATGATGGACTTAAATCTTTTGATGAAAACATTTACATGGTATTACTGACTTACAGCGTTTCCCATCCTCGGGTTGTAGCGTGTAGTCGTTCAACCTCAATCGGCGCAGATAAGCGAGGCCAAATTCCTTCTACCACTGACTGGACTCGTCAACGGGATAACCAGGTTAGGTAAGAGACAAACTACGTCAAAAAGAAGGGAAGTGTAACTATATACTGTTATAAAATCACTAATAATTTTGAAAATATTCAGTTCTATCACAGTTATTTGACAAAAACAAAGCAACCTGCTCAAGTGTAAATTATGCATTGTAAGAAGTGTTTTTGTGCTCAAAATACACGCTACGTAATGTTAATGACAATGAATGGCAACAATTTGGTTAATATAATAGCAGTCAAGCGGCAAGTCACAAGATTTCTGACATTTGCACTTCTTTTGTCATTCTGGAATTTGTTGAAGTTTTCAGAAGCACAAATTCCCGCTGCACGTTAGGTTTTACAAAAACATCAGTTAAAAAAGGACCTCAATTTCTTTGCCTTACTTTAAAGAACGCTCGTTCTGACATCTCGCGTTAACCGTGAAATAACCAGTTGTGTCAAGCTTGAAATGAAATGATTAGTTTCTGGGATTTACCCAGGGGGACGGAACATGTGGATATTTTTTGTTTTACTTATAGTGTCATATTACTTTAAAAACTCTTGTTTTAGTTATGGTGAAGTTCCTAGTGAGCTTGCCAAGTTCCTATGCTTAGTAAGGGCACTGGTGCCCGTTTCTCGAAAGTCCCGGCAACTTACAGTTCGGGCCCGGAAAGCTGTTTTTATGTTTGCCGTGTTTGCATTCAAGGTGAAAATTTCAATAATTTTTAAAAATGATAGAATGAAACTATTCGTTAACGAAGCAAAATTGAGGGAAAGAGTTGCGTCCGGTTGTTTCAGCGAAGGACCTTGGAGTGTATATGGACGCTACATTGAGTTTTGATGAGAACCTTCCATTATCGAGCAGTTTCACTGTGGAACTCCTTACCCGAAAGGCTCACTGAACGAACAAACCTTGCATCATTCAAAAAGGAAGTTATGCGTCATTTACAAAGAGAATTTTAGAAGCTTTGTTGCAAATACATTGTAAATATCTTGTTAAATCTTGCTATATACATATGATTTTAATCATTTCTTATTGTTTTATAGTTTTACATATTTTATTGAATATTGTAATTACTTTGAAAAGCCAGAATTTGGAAAGTAATGAAGTTATTATTATTATTATTAGATTCTGAAAATAAGCTTGCTGTTCCCTTGCCACGAACCAATTACTATAGATTGAAATAGCTTCTGCTACAGCTGGGCTGTTCTGTGGAACAATTTGCCCTCTGATGTAAGACAAGCAAAACTTCTAACTCGAACACGGCATTCATGAAAAACAGGCCTTAATTTAATAAATTAATTAATATCATTTTTTTATTCATTTCAACATTCATTATTGTAAGTGCTATTACTGTTAATTCAATAGTTTGTAATATTTTAGGATTTCAAAGTATATCATTATGTACTTAGCTATATTTGTATATTAGCCTGATGTTTTACAGTGTATAAATAAAAGTAGTGATGATGATGATGATGTCAAATGTAGGCAATTTTCCTGAGTTGAATTCTGGGCGCCGCGTCCCATGTTTACATCCTCTGTACAACGTTGCATAAAGAAATTTAACGACAAAGTTGACCATGCAGCAAGGGTCGAAATAACGCCTGTCTACCCGGTCGATTTCAGGTAATTTAAGGAAGTGACAGGTAAAAAAAAAAATGATGCCTGTTGCTGGCGATAGGCAAGAAAATCCTTAGTTATTCAGGATTTATCGATTTGAATAATATTTTCATCCATTTTCCACCCGCAGTGGTGCTCACTTGTGCGGTTCCTCGAAGTGTTGTCGCACGATCTCACATGGTAGTTACCAGACTCTGCTCAATAAAAGCAAGATGATGCAATCCTTGCAGTGCGCATGACAAAGACAGCAAATGCCATGTGACTAGCATTTTTCTTCCTCGTGTCTTCGTCGAGCAAGCGTGAATAAATTATGTGTAGAATTGCAGTCGGGGTGGCGTAAACAATGTGCCAACGAAGCGGAGGTTGAAGTACAACTAGAAGAAAATTGCGAAACACCGGGGCAGCAGGGTCACTGTTGAGAACTTAACCCTAAGCCTGCCACTGAATTATGGGGGAACAGGAGGAGGACCCTGGGTGGAATGATAATTAAAAATGCAGGAGACTGGTGGATACCTATGGACCAAACCAAAAGCCTAGACAGGCTGAGACAATAAATTGCACACAACAAAATGTCATTGCTTTCTATCAGTTTATTACGTGACGATTTTGCAACCTTTGCAACCTTTTCCCAAAGTGAAAATAAATATAAAATAATATTGTTCAAGTTGGATGTTGGTGGACAGGTGAAAAATATTCTGCCTGTCACTAGACATAGGTAAACAGTCTGGGAACATTTCAACCCGTGTGTTTTGCAGTGACGGCAAAGAAATATGTATACCAAGAAGTGTGATCCACTTTGCCTTATTGTAAATTAATCCAGGGATATATCATGACTAAGGGGTTGGTTACTGTGGAGAGTGCCAAGCGTAAATTACTGTATTTGTTATTAAGATTAGCCTTACATAGGTGTCGATGTGAATATTTAAGTAGGCTATATAAGTTACAGTACCGTCTTGATTCAGGCGGTGTGCGCACTACGATTGCGATGCATTGTGGATTCAAAATTTTCAAGATGGCGGCGAAGGTCGAGAAATTTCGCAGGTTATATGCTTTATTTTTCAATAGATACAGTTCTTTCCTTAGATCGTTTTTCTCGATTTCATAAGCTAATATCTGTTTAGATTTTTTCTGTGAAGAAAAACAAATCAATACTCTTCATTTCAATCTAAAACGTGGAGCCCGAAGTTTCCTCCTGTAAGAGCATGAAATTTGAACCCGGTTTTTAAGAAGCTATAATTTCCATTATATTGCCCGTCGAAAGTGGAAGATAGTTGTAAGTGTTTCTACAAACCTTGTTCTACGCTAATTTTTTATCGCTCCCCAACGCGCCCCACGTTTTGTGATACTTTTTCCGAATTGAAACCGGCATGTTTTCATAGGAAAATGTAGCCTCGCGAACGGCAGGTGCAAAACGCAGGTCACAGGTCACAGGTCACAGGTCACAGGTCACAGGTCAGGTCACAGGGCACAGGGCACAGGTTACAGGGCACAGGTCATAGGGCACAGAAAAAGCAGTAAAAACAGTTAAGACACTCCATTAGGCTTTTTTGTTTTATTTCCGGTTACGCCACAATCAGGCATATGCTTGCCATCGACCATGCTTTCCGGTTTTGTACTGAGGGTTGAACAAGTAAATGGCTAAAGTTACACATTGTATTGGAACTTGAGGAGTTCCTTCTCTGGAGATCTCGAAACGAGGCTTTTTCTTCGCTCCACGCGAGCGGACTTGGAACGAGGCTCTGAGAGGAGAATGGAACGGAAAATAGCCTCGTCTGTGCAGAAAGCAACATGGCGGAAGACCAGAGTTTCGAGGTAAGAAAACAGGACTTGCTGACAAGTTATTTTGGCCTCAGTTCCACTGAAGAACTGAAAAATAACTTAGTGAATTATCAACACACGTCTCCTTCGCTAACTATCGACTGTGCTGCAATCGTGAATTGCCGATTTCGGTTTGTTGCTGCGTACATTGTCATTAAGTTGAGCAATGGAAACATGGTATGATTCTAGCCGTAGTTACGAAATAGTGACACCTTTTAGACCAAGACCGTTTGCATAATTTGAAAGTTTTTTATACTCTCAGTACAAAACCGGAAAGCATGGTCGATGGCAAGCATATGCCTGATTGTGGCGTAACCGGAAATAAAACAAAAAAGCCTAATGGAGTGTCTTAACTGTTTTTACTGCGTTTTCTGTGCCCTATGACCTGTGCCCTGTACCCTATAACCTGTGACCTGTGACCTGTGACCTGTGCCCTGTGCCCCGTGA